GGCTTTCCCTTTGGCCGAATGAAAGAAAATGTCTGGTAAATTAATTAATACATGCAAAAATGGAAAAGGGATATGACGAATAAGTTCTCCCCTTTTACCTATTTTTACTTTTGAACACATGTCACGGATGCCTGCGGGTAATGGTGGTAATTGATCAACAAGCACAGTGGAAGCCTTATGGCGGAAGCAGTCAGTTGATCAATTTGTGAGTCCTGACTGCTTGGGTGCGGCCCTTCGGGGAGTACTCGTGGTGGTTGTGGTTGGCGAGTTCCTAGTAAAATGGAACAATTGAGTGCAGCCAGGCCTCGCCATTCACCAGAGTGGGGTTTATTGTTCCATACACAATAAACTGTTCTGGACTCTGGTGCTGTTTAGGCCCCTACTCTGTGGGGATTGTCTAACTCGCCAGAGGGCGTAGTACGCTTAAAAGTGGTTTGGGCCACCGTGGGGTTAAGCCTTACAGGCAGGAACCCACGTTAAACCCTTGCCACAAATTCTGTCCAATTTGCCTTTCTATTGGGTTCTCAATTTAATTGCATTGTTGTCAAATGGCATTTGTGTTGACTAAAAAGACCAAATGGTTTTTATTTTCTTCTGTAATTGTTCTCTCTCAATTTTCTCTCAATTAGAGCTTCAAAGTTAATATTAACTTCAATGAAATTTCTTTTATTTTAATTTATTCAATAACTAATTTTATGTTTCGCGTCAATTTTTACGTCCGTCTTTCTTTTTTTCAATCTCGACGCAAAACGAAAATGCCGGAAATGACTTCTTTTCTTGAGATGTGGCTGCTTGATCAACAGCTGTTCGAAAAAAATCATTGCCAAACTCACGTTTGCTACATATAGCCAAAAAGTTCGAAGCTCGAACGTGAAAATTATATAACATCATACACAATCAGTGCCCTGGGGAGTAATCACCTATGAAAAATTTTGCATTTTCTGTTTTGTTTTTGACAAAAAGCTGGATACGAAAGTGAAGGCTAACTTTCAGCCAATTGACTACCCGCTTGGTTAGTGCGATTCATTTGTTAACATTGTGCTTTTCTCTGTGCTGTTCATTAATTGGTCAAAACATACAAAATATTTAATAACACTTCTGTTAAATATTAACTTGATTGGTTGAAAACGTGCTATAAACTAAATAATAATCAATAATATAATTAATTCTCTAATTAGAAAATTTCTCTATTTATACAATATACATATATGCAAATAGTAATTTGTTTCTATATTCGTTTAATTTTGTGCTCAACCTAAGAAAACCTTTGCTATATTCTGCAAATCTATTCACAAAATATACGGATGTGGACACATCAAAAAAATGAACGTTTGCCTACATTTTTTATGAATCAACGAAGAGGCAGCTGTGTTTATTATGCAAAACAGGCTGGTCACTATATGTACAACTTTATCTTGTTTTGCATTTTGCGAAAAGAATTACAATCGCTAGGACTAAGAAACCTTATGTTTTCTTGGTTTTAAAACATTACTGTGTCGCCCTGTCTTTATGTAAGATAATAATGCTTTTTAATTTTTTTTTGTCTTTTCACATTGTTTAATTTAAGTATAAATATCGGCGGCTTTGCAATTTAACAGTTTATTCTTGCTTTGCCTTTTTAACAGATTATTCCACTACAGCTTTGCCTAGTGAAAATTGCCCAAAAACTCGAGAAGAAAAATTTTTCGTAGTCGGAGTTGGTTTGGTGGCACTTGGAATAAACAAAAAATCGTTTATCGTTGGAACACCTAAAATATTTATATAGTATTTTAGAAAAAAATACAACAGTATCCTAGAGGTTTAATAGGTTTGCTGGTAGAATCAAGTATAGCGGAAATTATAATATGGGGTGATCAACATGACAACTCGGTTTTCGCTTAATAACTCGCTCTTTATAATTAGGTGTTAATTATTTTCCTTTTTCCAGCCTTTTGCCAAAGATTTCAAACTTGGTAAATAATGGAGGATGACTTCTTTAACGTACTCGAGGCTAAAAGAGAGTTAAGACAGGGTATAGTGGGATGTCAGAAACGTGGTTTAGTGTACAGCGTCAAATGGTTAGCTGAAATGTGCCACGGCTTTGCGGACGTGGATACTGACGGCGAGGATGAAAAAGATAATTTCGATATTAAAATGCTGGAAGGCATAGCACCAAAAGAATATGATAATTATTTTCTGGCTAAAAGTTACTTTGATGTACGTGAATATAATAGAGCAAAAGCGACCAAGTCAAGGAAAAAGAATCGGAAACAATCAGGAAATCAATAACAATTCCTTTTATATATATTTTTATATATATTGATAAAGTTACACAAAAGAAATAGAGACGGAGTCGTGCGTACATGTCTGCTATTTTTATTTTTTCTATACACAATTTTAGTCTCTTAAAATATGGTCAAGAAATGGAATATTAAAGTAGATATTTTGGAATTTTCTAGTAGGAAAGATGAATTTTATTTCTTTAAAAAAGAATATTGGAGAAATGTAGTAAATGAAGATGAAAGTGATAATTACGATAGCTCTGATATTGACTTACTTCCTGACAAAAAAAAAACTTGTTATGCCGTTGATAATGAGCTTCGAACTTTTTGGCGATATGTACTGTAGCAAACGTGAGCATGGCAATGATTTTTTTCGAACAGCTGTTGATCAAGCAGCCACATCTCAAGAAAAGAAGTCATATCCTGCATTTCCGTTTTGCGTCGAGAAAAAAGAAAGACGGACGTAAAAATTGACGCGAAACATAAAATTAGTTATTGAATAAATTAAAGTAAAAAAAATTTCATTGAAGTTAATATTAACTTTGAAGCTCTAATTGAGAGAAAATTAGAGAGAACATTTACAGAAGAAAATAAAAAATGAAAGAGCCTCCAAAAACGTAAGCTTTGCAAAATTAAAAGAAACTACCTATAAAAAATAATGCTTAACAGATTAACCACAACGTGCAGCGGAATTGCCTCTAACACAACAGAGAGGCAAAGCAGCTTAGAAGATATTAATTTGGATCAATTCCTGAAAACTTCTAATTATGAAGATACAGTGAAGCAATTGGATATCTATTATGGCATAGGTGAGGAAATATTTGCTTAATTCTAAGTAATTATATAACAATCATACACTACATATCTGTAATATACAGTTGATTGTGTTTGTTTATTTATCTGTTTTGTTTTGATTTTTTGCGTAAACAATTACGCGAGTTCAACGTACGCTTTATATGAATTAAAATGTAAACAATTATCAGTTAAAAAGAAAATAGGCTTTGTTTTTACTTGAAGTTAAACGTCAACTTTTACGCCACCAAAGTCCCATTACTGGCCTCTTCCCGGTTATGAGCACTGATCAGGAGGTGGGTTCGGTGCGTGATAGCGTTTACTGTGCAGCTGCTGTTTGGAGTTTATATCAAGCTTATAGACGAATAGACGATGATCGTGGTAAATCTTATGAGCTAGGCCAATCAACAGTGAAGTGCATGCGTGGTATATTACAATGCTGGATAAAACAAGCTTGTCGTGTCGAACTTTTCAAACAGAGACAATCCAATCAACATGCTCTTCATAGTAAATTTCATTTGCACACTGGGGAGGAAATATACTCCGACGATTTTTACAACCATTTGCAAATAGATGTGGTCTCTTTGTATATAATTTTTTTAGTTCAAATGATTACTTCGGGTTTGCAAATTATCTATACGCAGGTAAATTAACATGAACAATGCTTTTTACATTATTAAAAATTAAATATTTTTGTTAAAGGATGAAGTGGCTTTTATCCAAAATTTGGTATACTATGTCGAAAGAGCTTATCGTACCCCAGATTTTGGCATGTGGGAACGTGGCTCAAAGTATAATAATGGCACCCCCGAAATCCATGCTTCTTCAATAGGTTGGTTCAATTATTTAATATATTCGTTCTTTTTGAAAAATTTCTATATCATAATTTTGTCGATACCGAAAATAAATGGGCAAATTCGAAAAAAATATTGCAACAATTTTCGTGCTCATCAATGAATTAATTGATTTCCGAAAGCTTTTTATGTTAGGTGCACTAGAGCTTATTTTTCTAAATTTGTTTTGGATTAAAATATTAAGCTTGTGTTTCATATTCTGTGTATACAAAAATGTTGAATAATGCTATTATCGTATCAAAATGGCCACCCATAATTGAGGATGGTTTCGATGTGATAGGGATCTACTCATGCAGAACAGAACAGCGTCCAGAAAGCAAAACTGCCGTGAAGGGAAATCTTAGTCAGATATTTTAGTGTATAGAGCTGCTGATGTTTTTGACTTGAAAGATCATGCAACTTATTTTCGACAAAAAGAAGAATCATATTAATATTGATTTTTCCGATTCGTCTCTATACCCTTCCTTCCTTCCTCAAAGTTCACAAGTCAGTAAATATGGCAGAAGGCATTTAGAATCATTCGCTGATGCCACACAAGTATATTCCAAGAAGAAGTTCAAAATCCTACTGAGGATTGCTTATGAAGATGAATAGATTAAACTTTATTTAAAGAAAATTGGAGCCTATTTTGAAGGAAATATTGACACATGCTCAAAATATGTGACTGACACATTTCCATCTTTCGACAAACGAAGTATTACAAATGGCTAAAAATCATCGACTGTATCAAAACAAATTATCTTTATACATATATTTTGGATATGCTAAAAGGTATGGCAAAATCTGCTTTGGAAGCCATCAATGGTTGTAATCTGTTTGGTGAAAAAGGGGCTTCGTGGAGTGTCGTTTATGTGGATATCGATGCCCACAACCGCAATCGTAGCATTTTTGAAACCATGCTACCAAGAGAATCAAGTTCCAAGGTGTTTTAACAAATGAAAGCGAAAAAGAACCTTTTTTAATGTTTTGTAAATTTTCAGGGTGTGGACTCCTCTTTACTGCTTACCTTATCATTTCCGGCTTTTGCATCGCATGAAGAACGTTTAGTGGAACAAACTAAACAAAATGTTATCAGTCGCTTGCGTAGCAAAAAGGGTTTTAAGCGCTTCAGTCGTGACGGCTTTCTTAGCAAAGTTGAAGATAAATCCCGAAGGTATTTTTAACTCCTTTCTTCCTTTGTCTCTTATACAGAATAATTGTTCTCCTATTAGATATTATCATACCGGTGAAATTAAAGATTTTGAGGGGTATGAGTGCGAATGGCCCCTATTTTTTATAGCTATGATAATTGACGGCGTTTTCAAGAATAATAATGAACAAATTGAAGAATATCAAAATGAATTGAGGAAGTGTTTACATACCGATGCCTATAGTGATCCGGTGGTGACAATGTATTACGCTCCAGACGGTGAGGGTTCTTATATTAAGGCGCCCTCGCAGTCGCTTTTCCTTTGGGGCCAATCTATGTTTATAATAGCTCAACTTTTAACGGCTGGTCTTCTGCATATTAATGAACTAGATCCGATTCGCAGGTATCTACCTAGCTACAATCGCCCCAGAAGAGCTGGGCGTTATTCAGCGTTCCAGGTAAATTTCTCCGAATCAATGTAGTGCTTTCGAAGACGTGTTTATTTATTTTGTCATATCTGGTTTATCCTTTATATTTGTTTAAAAATACCTTTTAAATTCCTTCTATTCCACAAACTTTTTCGTTTGTTTACGCAAAAATTGATCATTTTAATCATTTTAACAAATACCAAAATTGAACAAAATTGGCCAGGGAAAAATGTTCGAAGAAACGCCTGATGTAAGTTTGAAAGTCTGTAAACTTGTACTTATTGAATTTTACCTTATTTCTAACATGACAAAATTTTGAAATTAATATCAAACTATTTGCAAAAACATTTCCCCTCATTGCTGTTAAATGTTTTTTAAAATTTCTATGTAATGTAATTTTCCGCTTTTGTAGGAAGGTTGGCAAGAAAAAAATTTTAATTTTCTCTCTCGCTGCCTCTTTTTTTACTATTTACACTAATTGCTATTGCGCAACCAAATGGTTATGTTTCTAAATTAAGCGTGAAACGAGTCGCAACCAAATGGTTATGAGCCTGAAGCTTTATTTCTTGCCAAGCTCTTACTTCTTTATTTAAAATGAAAATTTAAAAAAAAAAAAATTTATTTTTACATATATTTGACAAACAGGCTAAACCCTGCACTGTAAGTAGTTTCGCATGAATTTTGGTTTGATTTTAGTAAATTGCAAATAATATTTTGACTATAATAATAACGACAACTAACCTTACTTTTAATCGTCTTAAATCGTCAGTGTCTATATGCTGACGTATTTTTTGCTTTGCTGACTAAAATGCCTCCCCCTTCTGGTGGCGCAAAAAAATATTTCTTTCTTTTTCTTAACTAATCGGCCCTTTATGCGCGGTTTATTTACGTCAGTTGAGCAATTTCTTAACTTTTCGTTATCTTTTTTCAATAAACTAACAATTTTTGTAGCTTTATTTGAACGAGATTAATATCTATATAAATATTACGTCGCTCATTTAGTTACTCTCTCAAGTTATTTTTTTTTAGGGTACAGCTACCGATTTGGTAGTGCAAATAGTTTTAATTGCGGAATCCTTGCGTTTACAAGCTATGATGGCAACTTATGGTATTCAGACCCAAACACCACATGAGGTAAGCTTTCAGAATGTCGCCGTTCAGATATCTACTTAGTTAGTGTAAAGTGCTTATTCGCGTTTTCTTTCTTTCTTTTTAGGTCGAGCCTATTCAGATATGGTCCTCTACTGAACTGATTAAAGTTTACCAACACTTGGGTGTTAACCACAAAATTGGCTTATCTGGTCGCCCTCCCCGACCTGTCGGTTCTTTGGGTACCAGTAAAGTTTACCGTATTTGCGGTATGACGGTGTTGTGTTATCCTCTGATATTTGAAGTATCCGACTTTTATTTGTATCGCGATATGGCTTTGCTGATCGACGACATAAAAACTGAATTACAATTTGTCGGTAAATACTGGCGTTTATCTGGACGGCCTACGGTCTGTTTATTAATAAGAGAAGAACATATGCGAGACCCTCAATTCAAAGAAATGCTGGATCTGTTAGCTATGTTAAAAAAGGGCTATTGTGACGGCATGAAAGTGAGAATCGGTAGATTGCAAAATTTAATTAGCAGTTCATGTACAGGTAAGAACGAAATATATCGCAAATGGTAATTACTAATCAAGTTTTTTTGTTTTTCATGCTTTCTGGTCTTTTTCTTTTTTTAATATAGAACACTTGGATTTTATGAATCAAATCAATTTACCGAATAAAGAAAATTCTTTTACCCAAGTCAATCATGAGTATGTAGGTTACCAATCTCTTACCGATGTGCCTAAAGCACAAACCTATAATGAGCAAAAAATATCTGTAGAGGTAAAGGAAATGCCAAAATATTTTCGTATGTAAATCTGGTAAATTATTTTTTTTCTTTTTCCAGCACTACAAACACAAATCGAGAAATGAAATCATAGAAGCTTTACGTCACATGGAATCAATTTATTGCCTTTGTCAATTATGGGGTATTCTACTGAATCGTGAGGGTCCTAATTTCGAAGTAAACGGTTTGACGGTAACGCAGGCTCTAACGCAATTATATCATCGCGCAGGCTCTTTACGTTATTGGCGTGCGGTACGCCATTGTTCTTCGTTGCTGCATCATATAGTCGACTCTATAAGTCCATTCATAACGACTGTTTTGGTAAACGGTAAAGAAGTTACGGTGGGAGTGATAGGGCAAAAAGAAACTGTATTTGATAAGCCTATGACACCAGCTGAAATCCAAGAGGTTATGTACACCACTGTTCAACCATATGACGTAATACAGGCGGTATTGCAACAAGAGGTTGTCCTCTACTGCGGCCGCTTGATTGCTACAAATCCTTATATGTTCAGAGGTATATTAAAGGTAAGTATAGGTTATGCAATAAAATGTAACTTTTTTTGCTACTAAAAATGGATAACTTTTGCCAGATTCGTGTTGGATGGGTCTTAGAGGCAATACGTATTTACTTGCAAATTTCAGGACAAGCTTCTATTGACTTGGATAATTTGTCGCCTTATCAGGTGCGTATATTATTGCAAAAAGTGCTAACAGTTAGTGAATGGGCAACTGAAGAAAGGTAATTTTATTATATACTTCTTACTACAAAATAGTAGTAAATTCTGTTCTATCGTGCAGACTTACTCCGTTACAACGTCGCCAATTGGAGGGATGTTTATGTCGAGTACCTAAACATTTCTATAATAAAATTTGGGAAATTTTACAAAGAACACCACTAGGTATCAGCACTCAAGGTCACTTATTGCCTGCCGCACCTACTTTAATTAATATGAGTCGTGGGGAATTGACCTTCTCTTTGTTAGTCGAAGAGACATTAATATGCATTGATAAGCCAGAACGACGACAAATTATCGTAGAGCTGTTGTGTATAATAGCTACAATATTAAGTCGGTATGTCTGCTTAAAGTTATTTATGTAAGCTATAATTTATTGCAGTTGGTCAAGTCGGTCTTGTTAGAGTTGTGCAAAAATATAGAGTGTCGTAAGTTGTTTCGTCAAAAGTCTGTCAACTTGTATAGATTACTTAAATTGCCAGTCTTCTTAATATAGACTACAATCAAAGGCGAACGCGAAGTCCTGCTCAGCCAGGCCATTGTGTCATCCCTGATTGACACATCAATTAGCTTAAAGTTTATCGGAATCGATAACGTGGTTGCACTCCGTAGTCAGTATAGCTTCCAGCAAATTGCAGCTGCAAATCGTACCTGTACTCCTTTTTTTAGATTAGTGGTCGCCACAACAGAACACAGCCATTACAGGAAGTTGCCTACTTTTCATGGACGAACCGCAATGCGACTAGTTCTGTTGTCTCGTTCTAAATCTGGATCAGTAACAACACATTATCCACATGTTATGAATCCTAGTTTACGGTTAGCCTGCTGCAGCGAGAGAAAACGAACCAATATTTTTCGTAGTACAAAATATTTACAAACATATGCAAGAGTCCCGACAAATATTGTGCAACCTTTTATATTCATTACATATGATTTCCAAACGTGCCCAAGTTGATCTGACCGTGCCAGAGTGCTCTCGTAATACAAATCTAATTTTTCTAGCATTAGGAAAGTGTGGGGTATTACAAATAAAAATACTTGGATCATCTGGTATTTGCTCGGCAAATGTTATCTGTAGTTTACGTGTGCAGTTGAGTGTAGTGCAGCATAGGATTACAGCTTTCAAAAAGGATAACAGTTTCATTGCTCTAAAATTTGCTTCACATGAATTCGAATATATAAGAGGAGGTATACTTTCGCTCTTTATTTTAGAAGTTATAAGATTAAATAAGTAAAACGAGTTGCTTGCTATAGATTAAACTAATCCTCGTCTTAATTATTCAAATTTTTCCCATAATTTTGCAGAAATCCTGAGTTACATTTCAAGCAAGCCTTGGATTTAGATGAAATAATTATGGAAGCCTTTTTAATGTACTGCAAGGTTTGTAGAGTTAATAAAAAAAATTTTTTTTGGATATGTGGAAAAAAATTTACATTAGTTTCTTCCTTAGGATAATAATGTACAAGATCACGGTCACGATATGACACCCTTCTATTCTTTATTTTATAATGAATCGGCCGGCTATTTGGCCCGTGCAGCTGTTAACAAAATTTTGCAAGGTGGCGCCTTTTCGCCGCAGGAAGAAGATGGCCATCAACTACATGACGAAACATGTAAAATATCATAAAGTTACTTGTAAGCTGCCGTATATCGATGCAAGTGCGAATATACGAATGCACATTGTATATTAAAACAGCCTTACATACCCATATCCCATAGATGTGGTCTGTTTATATATAATTTTTTTAGTTCAAATGTTTACTTCGGGTTTGCAAATGATGTATACGCAGGTAAGTCAACATGAAGAATACTTTTTACATTATATTAAAAATTAAATAGTTTTCTTAAAGGATGAAGTGGCTTTTATTCAAAATTTGGTATACCATGTCGAAAGAGCTTATCGTACTCCAGATTAAAAGTAAGGAAACGTTTTATTTTTGGCCAAGGTATTGCAAAAAAGTTAGCTAAATGGATGATAATAGAACCAGATCATAATCAGTGTTTTGGTAATTGAAAGAACGATATCCGGTTGTTGGTTGTTGGCGTTGGTCTATATTACTGTCTAGCACGCATGCGGACAATTTCTTACGCGCCATCGAATTTAATAAAGCTAATTTTAATTCGATCCAAATTCTATTACTAAAACTTTTACTTTATTAAGGAAATGCCACTGAAATAAAATATAGAGAATAATAAATTATTTTATGAGTAAGTTTTTGAAGGTTTGAAGTTTTTGATGAATTTGGCGCAATAACAGGAATTTTAAGATTGATTTTTTAAAAACAAACCTGATAGCACACCGAACACAGACCTTAGAAACCTGTTCGCCTATTATTGACATAGTGCGGGAGCACTACTAATTCTTGCAGATTATGGAATTTATTAAATCACAACACACATTACGAAAAATAAATATATTAAATATGTTCTTGCTTGAATTTTCACAATATTTGACGACATGAAATTGTGTGAGCAAGAGGAAGAATTGAATTTTCACAATATTTGACGACCCGATATTGTGTGAGCAAGAGGGAGAATTGAGTTTTCACAATATTTGGCGACCCGAAGTAAATTAAGTTTGGTTATTTCGGATAACAATATTGCGGACATATCAGCGATATATATTTGGAATGGAAAAACAATATGTATTAGAATTTGAAAGTGCGCACTGGCAGTGGTATAAGCAAGATAGCGAAAAAATTTTCGAGTGACAATCAAAAGTTAAATAAAGTTGCCGGATGGTGAATATTATTTAAAGTATCTAATAAGACTTCGCTTTTAAAAACATGTAAAGATCTTAAAATTTAAAAAAAATTTTGTCAACGAGAAATAATTATATAAAAACGACCTTAACAATTCGATTTCCGTTTTTAATTGAAATTCGATTTTATTTAATTGTTGTCATTTTAAATGAAAAACGTCTATGCCTTATGTTAGTCGACCTTTCTTTCGTATTGTCTGCAGGAAAGAAAGACGGCTAAAGTCTTTTTTTCGCAACGGCAAGTTTTAATAGAAAATCCTTCGTACTGCAATAAATAACTACGACCAAAGACATGAGAACCGTTGCAAAGAAAGACAAAAACTATGACAACTCGAACTGTTTAGAACGAAAATGTCAACGACATCTTCTTGTCCGCCTTTACAACTGTCTATGAAAAACTTTATCGCGCTGTGACATCGGCTTCACAGGTTTCATACAAGCTACGAACGTATTTACTTTGAAAAGCAGCAACACATTGCAACATATTTGTGTTTTTTTACCCTTTTCTTTTAATTTTTTTCGCAATTGTTAACTACCTTCAACATCTAAGTCTACTCCTTAAATGAGGTTGAGTTTACGGAAACTGCGATTAGCTAAATTCTTCGCTAAGAGCTATTACCTAATTTCCCCTTGTAATTTTCCATTTCATCATCATTAAAAACTTCATAAATATATTCATAAACATCCCCAACCATAGAAAATATCTCCGACATACAAACTATTCCATACATTTCGTAAATATCTCAGACAATTCAAATATGTAAAGAAAAACTCAAGAAAGAAGCACGCAAGAAATTTTCTGATTCTGATTGTGTTAGTGTTTATTCTCAAAAGTTTTGTGTGATAGTTTTGTCTCTGTTCTATATGCAAGTCTATTACAGCGTTTCTAGAAAAGTTTCTTTTACACATATCTTGTTTTCTTATTTACAACCTGTCAATATTTAGTAAAACATTTCATTTAAATATCAAATGTTTACATGATACATATTTGTCCGACGAAGTCTATAAGTTTTTTAAATTTCATTAATAAAATAAATAAATCCAACCGCATGCGACCCTAGATCTAACATTAACGTAAGCCGCATTCCATCAAAACTATGTGTGGGTGATGCTACCTATCCTACGCTGGAGGTTATCCAAAACATCCGTAGTATAGAGTATCGAAATTACTTTGTTGGGGGTGTTGGGAATAAAACACAGCCGAATACGTTTTTTTACGCACATGCTTAGTATTATTTGTGTTAGAGCAAAAGCCCTTTTTAGACGTTGAAACTTTATTTCAGTTGTCAAGATATCAATATTTCAGAGATTACAGCCGGTGCTAATCTGGTGAACATGGCAAAAAAGCAAAAATCAGAGAAGATTACGAAGACAAAGACAACAGCAAAACAGTGAGAATCCTTTAGTTAAAAGGATTTTGAATAGAGCTACAAATGAACTGTGCTTCTAGCCTTTAGCCTCTAGCTGAGATAAAAATGAAAAAGCTAACAATCTTTTAATTAACATCAAGCATGTTGGATAAACAATACTTATGGGAAACTACCTAAAACTTAAACGACTGTTCAGGCGAATTGTTTCCTAAGCAGAAAGGCCCGGAAGTCGACGTGGGAATTACATGGAAAAAACTACAAATTTTACTCAGTATCTTCAAAAAACTTTGCGGCCTAATAATTTTTGTGGAACTTCAAACACAGAAGTAATTTTGAAATTTCTAACACCACATTAAGAAAACCCCTGATTATGATTGCATAAGTGGAATAACTCTCTCTCATCTCCTTAATTTATTTTTTCTCACAATGTTGATTAAATTAATTTTCAACTCAGTCGTAATGGGCAGAAATGATTGTGGTGGCTAAAAAAATTTTGTCAGCTCGTACAGACTTATTACTTTACTGGTTAATTTTTCTAAAATATTTGAAGCTGGAGAGCGCCAGGAAAGTATCCTAGGCGAAATATTCTATATAATTTTTACATCAGATTTTCCTAACGCTGACAACATTTTAACTGGGACATATTCTGACGACTCAGCGTATTTGATGCCATAAGTGTTATCTTATACCGGGGGTTATTTATAGCTGGCTTAGGGCTGTCTAGAGGTCCAAGAAATTTATTCGTTAAAGTAACGGACCCTTCGCATTTTGGTGTTAGATCAAATATATATTCGTGGAATTCAAGAAGAGTACAAGATGGCCGTATTTGCGACGTTACTTCGTTATCCACAAACCACAAATTCATTTCAATAAAAATTTGCTTTGGATGAACGTTAAAATAAGTGATGAAAAATCTACAAATCTCGTTACGTCTACACTGTGGCAACCAACCATTGTGTAAGTATCATGGCTTATATATGTTGGGAGACAGTTTTTTATTTCCGTTTATTTTGAAGTCATATAATATTGTGATAAAATTGAAATAACATTTATCGATATGGGTAAAAAGAAACATAACTTCTAAGATATTTCAAAAAATTTTAAAACAAAAAATAAGTTACTTTGATATATAACAAGCTTTGTTCCTTGTAAAAAAAGAGATTATAGGTCAACAAATATTGACCCCGTTAGTTAATTCGTCCATAAATGCATTTTATGCAGGAATGTACTCCAACCTGATTAGACCTATGTCATGCAACTCCGGTGAACAGCCAGTAACTCTAATATTGAAATATTCCAATCTAAAACTCTCGGCCTTATTTTTAATGCCGCGTGTTTCGTTAACAACAAACGTATTCATGATAGCCTGGATTGTCCATTCATCAAATATCTATTTTTATTATTATTATTTTAGTTTTAGACTAATGAAATGAATTCTTAGACTGAAAAAAGACATTGAGCACTAGCAACACATTCTATCGGCTCATCAAATATCTAATTTGAAGCGTTTGTTCAAAATATATCGTCAGATTGAGGCAATGTCCGTTTTGGTTGAGTTTAATGAAATAAAACGATTGGAAAGATGAAGAGTTAGCGTTCTTTGTTCCTTAAATTATTTTAATCGATTTATTATTTATGCGTAAATTTTTAAGGTCATACAGTGTCTTTCATATACATATACATATACATATGTGTATAGTTTCATTTCTATATTCCGATTTTGTTTCCATTGTGGGACAACAGCCTATATTATTTTTCCCATTTTTTTTATCTTTTTGTATAGATTGTCAATTAAATATGTAATAAAAAAAAAAGAAAATTTAGTTATCAATCAGAACATATACTTCAAATCTCTCAGTAACTCTCTGTTCTGACACATACATGGCAAGAGCGTTGACAGACCAGTTCAACCTTAAAACGACACGTACCAGAATTTCTTGAGATTCTAGCCATTACATACATGCCTTACGTTCCTGAAATTTTGAAAGCTCGAAAAAAATTATTGTTAGGTTAGTTCATGCAACTTCTACTTGGAAATTCTTACGCTTTCGAATATATTGTGTGGATGATCTAGAGTAAAGCATCAAAAATATTCCCGTTACTGCCACGTTTCAGAAGTCAGACAGCTCTGATACATGCAAGACTATAACCCAAAACTATGCCAAAAATGTAATGTAATTTAATAAGATTTGCCTCGTGCTAGACATTAATACACATCAAAAGGGGAAAGATCGCTGAAGAGTGTAAAAACATCATTACAGCTTATATGTAAATGCCATATAATAACTTGTGAACCTTTTACCGCATTTTAGCAAATTTAAACGCGACTCATCTTACAATAGAATGTTTTGGATTTCTTTATATTACGGCAACGGTTTATGATTAATAAAAACCCTAATCTTATGGATCAAACCAGACATTCCACCATCGTGCCTCTGGCCGACTTTACTATTTTCCAAAACGGATTCTTTGAAGACAATTAGCATGAATTCACGCGATAAAATAAAATTTGAGAAACCAAGTGACTCGATGTCTTTAGTGTATTGTATCAAATGGTTGAATGGAAGTCAATAATAATAAGCAATAATTCAAAATGCCTTTTTGACAGAATGTAAATTTAAAAATGTTAATGGAGAGCTATCATTTATTTATAATTTGTTCAAGCTTTATGAAAATTTGTTTTTTTTGTATTATGTCTTATTATTGAGAGTAAAATGAAACGACAAACGATAGTTAATCTACAAGAAACCCCACTAAAATAAACGTTGAATAATGAAAAGTAAACTCGCGGTAAATACTTACATGTTTGAACGCATTTGTAATACTTACGGCCCGTCCAAGCCCTTGCGAAATTTTCAATTTGCAAATGTACACACTGTACACAAAGAGAAATGAAAAACCACGTTCCGCATAAGCCGAACTATAGATACCAATTAGTTGAGGTGCATACTAAAGAATAATTTTTCTCGTATTCATATCTTCTAGAAGTCGATCAAAACTTGAAAGAGTTCCATTGTCTCGAAAAGCTCATCTGTTGAAGTTCACAAGCAGTAATAGCAAAGGTTTGATGAAAGCCCTTTGGAAATCGAAATCTAAAAAAAAAGTTTTCTTCAATTGAAAAATAGTAATTATTTTTTGTCAAATGGCGTCGTAGGACGAACGGCCTGACAAAATAAATGTATTATCATTTTACGTTCGCGTACATAACAAATTACCCGCTATAGGCATTAAGTAATAGGATTGAACAAAAGAAAAGAAAAGCAGGTAAACAAAAAAGAAGAAAAAAATGTCATGTTTCAATTAACCGTAACCCAAGCTTATGGTTTTACAAATTCAAAAAACAAAAGAAGAAAATGAATAAAAGTGCCATTGACAGCATTTTTCAAAACTATAAAACGTTGACACTAGCACCGACAATACCTTAGCGTTAAACAGTACTTGCGACGGTTAAAATTGCTTTAAATTCTTTGGTCGTTACATATAATGCGAGGATCTACGATGCAAGAATGGATGAGTAATGAAATCGAACGTTTCTCATCAAAATTGGAACGCTATAAACCAACCGGTTCGGGTTATAATCGCATACAACCCATACGCCTATCGAAAAGTGTCGTTCATATGCTGAACAATCCCATGCCAAATCGAAGTAATCAAATTGAACAATCCAGCCAAGTCAGAACAGATATTACACAAAGAGAACAGCAGCCACCGCAACAGGGGCATTTACCACAGCAGCCGTCACCACCACCACCACCACCCGCATATCAACATCACCAACGTTCACGAGGTGTCCTGAGTCTAACGCCAAATGAATGGGAAGAAATGTATCCGACTGTGGAGTTTCACAATCATCGTACACAAATTTAAAAAAAAAAATTAAATAAAATAAAATTGTAAGATAAGTTGTTTATAGCATCGTGCTTGGAACCCTGCGACTATTTCTATGTCCTTATAAATACAAATAGCTATTGCCGTCGTCGTTATAATGCATTTTAGCATTGCCTTTGTTTTGTAATTTGTGTGAATTTTATTAATTTAATTAGTTTTTGTAAAAAAATTGTTTTCAATACATATGTGTACTAATTTCGCATACATCAGACTTATAACTAAACAAATTAATTAACTATTTATATATGAAATAATAAATCAATGTATGTATCAATGTATGAGTAAATTATTGTTATTATTATTATTATTATTATTGTTATATATGAGTAAATAAAAGCATCATTTGTTACTAAAAGTTAGTCGCTTTCTGCTTATGGCTGATATTGTGAGAGTCAAGTAAATTTGAAATTCTTTTTGCATCGCTCTCTCGTTTACGCTCATCGCGCAAGTCTATGGACGTAAAAGCAACAAGAAATAAGGATCGTGAAAAAATATGTTTGCTTTATTTACATGAAGACTTCAATTATTGAATCTATAGGTAATTCACTTGTGAAATCTCAAACCAAATCGTTGATCCAGTAATATTAAGGCGTCCTGCACAACTAATTCTCTATTTTTGGCACCTCACACGCTTACAGCTAAGGATTCCAATATAGTTTTGGCTGGAGGTTGTCAGAATTATTTGCTCCAATATCGCTTTTATGATCTCCAAGAATCTGTACTTACAAAGTCTATAATTTCGCCCCTCTATCCATCTATCCTTTCCCGGAATAGTAGCTCACTTTTTATTTAATTCATAGTCTCTTTCCTCATGACTTGCAATTATAACGAAGATTCCTCTATATTCTCTTTTATCGAAACAGCCTCATAGCTTTTGTGTTCTCTCAACCAATAGACGCTTGTATACTTTTAAAATAGAAGGCAATGCGTAATATTTGCGTAACGTAATAGAAGAAACGTTGTTATATAAGGAGCTACTTGACTACTTGTTCTTTCATTTTAATTATTTGTTGCTCCGCTCCGAGAAAAGTCTATCGCAATTTTCTATAGCCTTCGCTAATAAATGATTAAATTTTTCTATAGAGCGCAAAATTGTTGTCGAGAGACATGTTCAATGGGAAAATGAAGTAAATAAAGTGCTACTGTTAATGAACGTAAGACTATCTAATCTCGTTAACGATGGCAACTCGATTTCGATACTACCACCTAAAATAAAATGGCCTTATGAAAACTTCAAATTTTTTGGAAAAGCGTAAAAGTCGAATTGAAAAACTACTAAAAATCATGAAGATAGCCTATGCCTTCAATAGGTGAGTCCAATGTGAGATATAAAGACGTAAGCGTGAGACATACCCATGTTAACGTAACCAAGATCAATAATGTAAGGATTAAAAAATTAGTGAATTCTTTCGATTGTCAGTTGTAAACCGATCCACGGCTGCGCTTTTCGTTCACAAGGTACATAGCCGATTCTGTGAAGCCATTATGTCGAATCAATAACGCTTACATGGATCTATCTGCCATTTAAAAAAAATACACATAACAGCTAAGTATAGCAATATGTACTAGCGGTCCGCCGCTTAGTCAATGTATGTATTTATTATCGCGTTTTCAATATGAACGATTTTATGTCAGGGACAAAATACACATCCACACAAGTCGGCGGTTGGACTATGGCTGGCGTAGTTAGCCATATAGATCTTGTGTACACCGGACTTGTGATGGATTGTCTGCTCGCTTAAATTAAGTTATTCAGGAAAGTGTCTTTATGACAAATATTTGATTAAAACGAGCCCACGATTCCTTTCCAATAACGGATGAGTGTAGATGGATCACACATAATTGAACCGGCACAAAATGACTTATTATCAATGATACTTATAAGGCAATGAACGTCCTTGAATTGGCCGAAAGAGTACCAGTTACATATGAGCTGGGACAGACGGATAGGCGTCCAAACACACTTTGGGTAGTCGGTTCATTATTAGACATTGACCTTTGTATATACCGGAAGCATACATATACGTTGATAAATCATCCTGAAATCCAACCTTGGTTATGAATAATAAACATATTAAAATATCTGTTAATGGCTTTTTTTTAAATTTGCCTACAGAAAATTATGATAAATCAGTCTGTTACGACGAAGTAAAGAAATAACTAATGCAACGCCATCGCCTTGCTTTAATAACAGATATTTAAAGTTTTTTTTTAAACGTTTTTAATTATAGTTTTTATATATATATATATTTGAAAATTAAAAAAAAAATACAAACATATTAAATAACTTCGTTAAGACATTGAGTTTCATTTTTGTTCTCTTTTAGCTTTATATAATTTCTTAACACTTCATTTAATTCCTACAATTGTATTATTTTGATTTGGTTACATTATTATATTATACACTCGGCAATAGGTACTCTTAAAGTTATCCTTATGTTTTATGTAAATTAAATCAAGCTAATTTTATCACGAATAGCATTCATACGAAATATTTTTTTTAGTTAATTGCTGTTTTGATTTATTTATTTTTAATTTATTGACATTTTTTTACCTATTACGAGTGCGCATTGTAAGTATAAACTCTGATTATTTAAAAATGATAAAAAATTCGCCGGTTTTATGTGTTTTATAAAAAAGCTAATCACGGTATGATAAACGATTTATAAAAACTATCTAAAATTTTATTAATTTATAGACTAATAGTTATTTAAGCCGCTCTTAATTAACATAATTTATAATATTAATATTATTGTTTTACTTATTATTATAAACATATATACACATATTTAAATAGTTTAATTCGCTTAGATTTATTTTAATCAAATTAATTATAATAATTCAATTAATTTGAAGGAGTATTTGCACCGACAGACTTAAATGTCATAAAATAGGAAATCTTTTTGAATTCGCGTCAAAAGCGATTTCAAATTCAGAAAGCGTCCTTTTCATGAAGTCAGAAGTTTGAATCGAAGGAAAGTACATACTGAAAGCTTCGTAGAGCACACGTTATAACAAAGCAGTATATCTTTAATTTTTTCGCGGATGATGCCCTAAATTTGTCGAATTGAAATACGCAGCAGGCATACTGTAAAGTACGCATATTCTCAATCAGCGTAAATGTCAGAATTGAGATAAACATTTCTAAACGCTCATCCGTTGAGTCACAAAATAACATTTCCAGCGATAATCGATCGATGAAGATTACTGAAATATTAGCAATAAATCGAGTTAACAGTTCGTACAATGTAATAAAAGTGTTGCTTGCCAATGTCTAGATCTATAGCGGTGTGGTCAGATGAAACGTACTTTCTCCACAAAATCAGTATATTTGAGTGTAAAAGTTATTTGTTTCATTTGAACAATAATATGCTCCGCTTCTTAGTACATTTGCAATAGAAAACGAAAAGTGGAAGTATATGACTTTGACTAAATAATTTGCGAAAATCCGCCAACTGCACTAATTTATAAACTGACAAACCGATAGACGTCAAAATTCTGCCAGTCATTAGCCTGATAAAAAGGTTTTCATTGACATTCGAAGACCGCGTAGTTAATTTATAAATAATATAAATTACCCCTTGATTTATTGAAACGATAAGTATAGGTCAAGCGAAATCAAGTCTGAATGTTAAGTTGGTCAAGAATTTGCGTACACTTTATTAGTTCTCCGATGTGAAGCACAAATCTCATATGTAGGGGATGGATGCGATAATGTGAACACTGCTGCATAGCACCACATTCGTATGTTGGCAACACTATTTTGATGGGACCAAAGCGGCGCTCGGTTTACATGCCATATAGTCTTGATATTTCACTTTGTTATACCTTTTTTTCTGCGGCGCTTAAAACAAGCGGTCATTGGAGTCTGATCTCGCAGACTTCGAAAGAGAGCAAATCGTTGGTGCTCAGTTAGCAGCAACGTCTCCGACGAAGTCGGCTAAACTTTTTAACATTTGTCGAGCGACAAACTACAGTAATTGCGGTAAACTCAACGTTATAAAATATCATCGGCGAAGGAGAGAGAAATGAGCGAAACCCAATATGAACTGACAGAGAGCAACGAACATTAAAAAAGATTGTGGCCAGGCAACACAAAGTTACCGCCGGCAAGACTGACAGCAATCGTCAACACTCGCTTGAATAGGAGCTTCACGAGGGTTAGATTCGCTGAAGGGCTGTATTTGCGAAGCGGTGCCACGATCCTAAAACATGGCCACTTGATGATTGAAAGAATATGGTATGGTCCGATGAATTATACTTGACATTATTTCCTACAAATGCTTGGCTTTACGGCTGAAGAGTCCCAAAACAAGCCTACGCTCCGGAGTACCTGCTTATTACAGTCAAACAAGCTTCGTTATAGTATAGATAGGTGGCTTTATTATGGTATTCAGCTGTCTCTCTCGTTCACATCGCTGGCCGAATTATTGCGAATGAATATTTCGACACCCTCAACAATGCAGTTCTTACTAGCGTCAGCATATTGCTGCTAGATGCTGCCATACTCCAAAATTATAATGCGGCCTTACACAGCCAAAAAGGTTCAGCTATGGTTTGAGGGGCAGATTTCCATTTCCACGAGTCAATTCCGCGAACAATTGTTCGAATTGCAGTTATTCTGCAAACAAATGGTGGGCCAAAAACTTATTAATAAATAAATATTTCGTTATTGTCTTACTGCGTTCTTACTATTCCGTTCGTCCCCATTCATAGTTCGGCGGTAGAAGTAAAAATTTGTGCAGCCAAAGCTAAGAATCCCATTTGTTAAACCTTGTATAAGCTTCATATCATTAATTATTAACGAAGCAAGAACATGATCGATTCAAAAAATAGATACAAGTCTTCGCAACAAAAAAATCAATCAATATCAATTTAAAAGTTAAGTGTAAACAAAAGCAAGTCAAATTAATTAATTTAAATAGATAATTTGAAATATTTGCATTAAATTTCATCAAGATCAGTAATGGTTTAAGATATTTAAAGAGCTTTTCAATTTTTTGCTTCAACATTTTTTTAGAAAATAGTACCGACGTGTTTCTGCTCCCTTAATAATTAATTAAAATTGGGTAAATTACGAGGAGAGATATTACTTGAAAAATATTTTCTACTCTTTTAGCCGTAAAATTATATAATACATAATAATTTTTTTAATAAGCTATGAATACTAGGATACATCTGCAGGAAATACTTAGATTCAATTATATTATATACACATACAACTAACTGTTCAATCAATAGTAAATTATCGAAAACTTTATAAAAATATGCCGCTAGCAATAATATTGCACATGTTTTCGAATTGACAGCGGAAACTGAAAACAATAAATAGTGTCGCTTAAGTTATAGTATAAAAATAAACTTCTACTTAAGCAAGAAATATTTTAAATTTGCTAAGAAATAAAAATGTTTGAATTATATCTTGTTTTACAGTGACTTATTTTTTTTTATTTCATTTTTTTTTTTTTTTTTTGTTTTTGTTATAATTCTTTTGTATCAAAAAATGCTAAAAATCCCTGAATATGAGTTCACAATTATCTATTTATTGTTTTTATTACATATCCTTCTATACCACAATCAATTCTATTTATTTAGTTAGGTTATGAAGAGTAAAAAAAGGCATTTATATATACTAAAACATCAACAATTTTGGTAATTTTCATAATAACAACAATCATATATATACGCTTATAGGGTTAAAAAAAAAACAAATCCATAATTAGATCAAACAATGCTCTCAATGATTATTTAGAAACAAAATGGTACGGAAAACAAAAACAAAATAAGAACGACGGTATGTTAAGCTTAAAGCATAAAAGTGTACAAGACAAAAAATAGAAAACGGATAAAACGATGTGATAAACAAATAAGCAAAAATTATAGACAAGGGAAACATAACCTGAACGGAACATAAGTCATCTGTTATGTATTGTTTGTCTCTTTCTCTCTCTCATTCTTTTCAACGTTCTCCCAAGCCAATTTCTTGTCAAAACTTCATCAATTCCTTGTTGCTTATTATTATTTGAATTAATGTATCTTCTAAACTACGTTATTAGTATTTTCTTTTCTTGGTTTTAACTTAATTTGTCATCGGCAGTTTATAAACGAAGTCTTGCTCTCTGCAAAAATAGAATAAATGAAGAGAGAAAAGAAAGACTAACTTAATATATAAGGAATATGTGAAAGTGAATGTAATTGTCGAGAAATATTCTTCAATGTAGTATTAATATGGACGTGTGTTGGCATCGGTTTGGTTTCTTTGTTTTTTTTTTATTTTTATTTATTTTATGCATTTAAGACACTATCTGTTGGGGTTGAGGATGCTCGTTGCGTCGACCACTGCCTCTACTACGCACCGATTCTGTGTCAGTTTCATCCTCAGCATCATCACGCGGTCTCGTCACTTTAACCATAGTTTCAGGCGAACGGAATAAGAACATCAACTTTGCGTACACATCTTCTTCTAACATAAATTCTTTTGCTTCACGAACCTGAAAAGCAAAAATGACAATGACAAATATAATGAATTCTTTTAAAATAGCTTCACAGGATCGAAAGTCTTATATAAAAACAAGAGAAAATTGGCGATGCATTTACGAAATTTTCTCGAACACAATTTTGGGATTAATCTACGATTATTAAGTCAATTTAACATCTATACTGAAAACAGCTTTAAAAGCAACATTTGATAGTAGGTATTACGGATTCGCCCTAAAGCGAGTTATAGAGTTCTTGTTATCAACTTAGCTCGAACTTTTTTTGAAATGGTTCTCGTTATCGAGTAATGTTTAACGAATGATGTAATATCGATAAGGTCGTCTTTGTGTTTCACAGCGTGAGGTAGTTGGATAAGGAGGAGAGTAAATCGACCCCAGAACTTGTCTTACTTACCAAGTAAACATCAAGGCACAGTTGCAGCACCCTGTCGACGTAAGGCATATCTTCAAACTTAATTCTTAAGCTGGCACCGCCCAAAATAGTCTTCAAAAATTGTGAAGCAACAATAACGATTGAAGTATACAGACCAATAATTCTTTATGCAGAGAGAGAGAAAAGTAAGGTTTTTTTTTACCAAAAAAATGTTTTGTTCAAAACTTCTGACCAGACTTACCCGCCTGCTGTTAAAAAAGTTAATGCGGAAGGAAATTTTTTATCATTAAACGTGTAAATAGTAACACCTGACGTGCAATCGAAAGACGGCCACTGTTCTAGAATAACTGTATCGTCGTCGTCACCACACCAATCAGAAATCTCCCACCACTGAGTACTCCCGAACGTATTTATACTTAATTCCAAATCGCGAAATTCTAAAACGAAAAGAAGAGGAATGAAACAGACCAGTCTTTGGAAATTACTAAAGTCGAACTTACGATGACCGTTTAGCAACATTGGTATATACGAAAGATCACCTGTGTTGATTACTTTGATGAACTTCGGTACCAAGAGTGGCACCCTTACACTATGCGTCGACGAATTCCCCTCCAACATTGATATCATATTCTTCCTATCGGGGTAGCTCTCATTTAAGCCTTGCACAATTTCTGAACTGACCGTTACTAATTCATTACGGCTCGGAGATTTTCGTGTTATAGTGTACGCGAAACGTATATATAATGTGTTACCTGAGAGTAAAAGAGAGAATAATTTTCAAATTGAATTAAAATTGAATTGATTTATATAGCTTTCTCTGAAGCTAACAATTGGAATAACAGTTTTTTTCTGCACCTACCATCGAGAAGTAGCGTGAAATTAGATTTGCCCCGTATGCAAATTTGTAACTATATACATATATATCTGAAGCAAATCTAATATCTAAGCTAAGATTACAAGTCGATTTAATTTCCATTCCATTTGCCTCTTCGGCTAAATTGTCTATTGTTGAAAAATTTGTTGTCGCAAGATTCACTGTAAAAACACAAGCCCGCTACGTTTAAAAACAAAGCTATTAGAAAGACTAAAAACCTTAATATATGGTGGATTACTAACGCTGATCGAAAATCAATATTTCGAAAAATTTGCCAAAAATGCATAGCTTAACCTATCCCATACGTGTCAATTTTCGCTTTAGAGCGAATACAACTCAACTTAAATTTAGCGCAAAGACTTAATCATCACAGATTGCCCCAGTCGCAGTCGCATACAGTTGTCATATTTCTTATGGAGCCAGCAAAAGTTATGGCGACAGAAATCTGAATAAGAATGCATTACGTACTTTTACGTACCTTTGGATTCAGAAATTTAAACGTTCTATCTGGGCTTTTATAATGGAGGCGAAGATTTGTTTGACCTTGAAACTTCTTTTTTTCGGGAACCAAATTATTTACGCAGTAGTCTGACGCGAATTTAATGAAAAAGAAAGATTTGCCCCGGATAGAAATGCTAGCAATTTTATGATATATATATATATAAGTATTTGCGTAATATGTTAATAAAGCAATAAACTTTGATAGAACATTTAAAAGGCACTTGCATACATGCGACCCAACTCTGAGGTTCGTTTCTTGGTTCTGCCTGTCCCTACGATAAAAAAAAAGAGAATTTCTATATTTCCCTTTTTTACACTTTTACTTAATAAAAAAGTCTTCAAGTCAAGCTCAAAAATAAGTAAAACCCAAGAGTTTGTTTATAAATAAAAGAAAACTAAATAGAACAGAGCCTATAAATAAAGGTTAAATTTGTACAATTACCTACAAATCATATACAAATATGCTTGGGAATATGTAGGACATACGATGTATATGATAGGACTATAACCGTTAATAATGCGTTAACTTAGAATTAAAAATATTGCAGAGAAACTGTTGTAAGCATTAAAAGATTTAAACCATATCGAATGTAACTTTTTTTACTACTAATATAGAATGGCTTACTACTATTTGTCAAGTCAGCAATCAGCTTTTTCTTATCCGGTGGCGCTATATTCCACATTGATGGTGAATTTGCACTTAGCTTTGTGACTGCAACATCGGGCGCATTGTAGCCCACTAAAAATGATTGCGCACCTCGCTCCGCTGCATACAAGTTCTTTATCTTATCAAACATTGCATCATCAAAGGGAGAAGTACTTTCTCTAGTAGTGGCGGTGTATATAGGATCAAAGGAGCCAAGACGTATGGAAACACTGACCTCCGTGGGTATATTCGGCTCACCCACAGCATTAAAGAGAGCAAAAAGTATGAGTGGCAGCCAAATTAAAGTGACTATGACCAAAAATAGCACACCGCCAACCATTACTTTTAAGTAGAGAGCTTTGGGTGTTGCACGGGGTGCTGGAAAATCTGCTTCCATTTGTCTAACACATTTATACGAATAAACCAGAGCAAACATATCCTCCATTTTTAACCACTCGAAAAGAGTCATTGTTGTTTCGATACACAACCAATCTAATATTGTGCGCAATTCGAAAAGGAACGGCATCAGCAGGTAACTAAAAATTATGTAAATATTTCTCACATGCATTACATTATGAGAACCAATTTTCTTACATTTTAAAAACCACCATGTTTAGCACTGTAAAGCTTTTTGTTAAGAAATTACCAAGTATACGGTTAGGATAGCCGCATTTAATTTGGTATGCTGAGGCTAATAAATAAAAACATTTAAATAAGTAAAATATTATGGGCGGAGCTGAGCTGTAGAAAGGACGTGCGGTAACCCATGGTAGAAGCAAAAACATCCACACATGTACCCCTACCACCGATATATAATGGAACACGATCTTAACCCTTAAGGCTTTACGCAAATACACTACGCGATCAATAATTATAAGTAAAAATTGAACCAACAACATGATTAAAAATGATACTGGAACTTTATTCTCAGATAAATAAGATTGAACACCACCACCTTCTTCGCCTGGTTCTGCCTGCCTGGACTATTTTAAAAAACATTGAAATAGAGCCAAAAATTATTCAGTTTATATTCAGTTCATTTACAAAGTAATATAAGATGTACTTACAGTAAACGCTGTAAATCCAAAAAGTAATATAAAGAAATTTATGAAATCGCAAAAGAACATAAAGGCATAGATATCGCTTGGCAAGCGACTCTTGTGCAACAAATTGTGAAAAAAGGTTAGTAAGGCATTGCAGTATCGAAAACGAGGACCACCGTAACTATAATAAGAATGAAAGAAAAGAATGAAAAGGAGCCCGAATAACTGCGAAAATGTTTGCAAATAATGCATGCAAATATAAAAATATTTACGGAGGGCTCGGTCCATATCTTCTGTCATATTCTTTGTCTCCAAATAACGCCTCATCAGCCGGTGATATTGTTTGGTCTTGCCTGTTCAAAGTTATTACAATATTTTGTGAATTAAGTTTTATCAAAGTATTATTCAAAATTATACACACAACTTAACGTTTACATAAAACTAAAATTGGATTTAATATACAAATTTTTAAGATCACCTTCTCCTCTTGATTTGTTTTAATTTCTTTTTTTCTCTTGCACCAATCCGCCTTAACATATCGCTTTCTTGATTTTTTTATCATATAACAAAATTTTCAATATTTGAATTAATTCTCAGGGAAATATTCTTTCATTACTTTCTTGAAACTCAAAACAATTTTCAAATTTAATTTCTTGTTCAACCTACCGAAACTTTAATAGCAATAAAAAATAAACAAAAAATGAATATACACACGCACTCTTTACACAGATTATTAAAATTAAATTCGACTTACGTTGTTAGCCTTTTACTGTCAATTATCACAGTCTTAACAACATCCGTTTTCCAAAGGCCATGCGATTTTAAAATGAATCTAAATGAAATCAACGCATAAAACCAAACACATCTATTACGGACCGTTTAAAATCGTGTAACATAAGATGATATACCTGTGAAAGAATAACGCTAACAGTACTAACAAGTCATAGATAGCATAGTTCGGATCGAATTCAACGCCGAACAGTTCTTGAATGCCCAATGGACTACTCGATACAGTGTGGGCATAATTGATCCAAATCAATTTGAACTGAAAAATACACTTAATTAACACGGCAGCTTGAGTGTAAGCAATAAGGGTAACCCAAAAGGTTTTCGTAGGTCTAGGCAACGATAATGTGCCCCACATAAACACCATTAAGGGCAATGGTAATGCTAATAAATCGGCCTCAACTATCTGTCGTAATGAAAATGAATTTTAATTTATTTAAACGACAAAAGAAACAGAACAAAAGAAAGTAAACTAAAATTGCACTTACTTGATGTACAAAGATCACTATATAACATATGATATCCGTGTTAGATATGATAGCATACCATGCTGATATTAAAACTTCTATAAGGATGTGATGGTCACGTGACGTAAAAGTGTCTTCTTCAAACGCATATTCATTGCTGCATAAAATTTTTGAAAGGGAAGAAGAGCAGACGAAGAAGTCCATAAAATAATATGTAAACAAACGCAGTACAATGACAACCAAATTTATTTTAATTTGCATCCCAATTCATACAAATAGCTGGCGGCGTTTATATCAAAATCCACATATACCAACATATACATATATGCATTAAAATTAATTATTTAAAAACATTGTCCAAGCATGCCCACAGTATGAGGTTAAGTGTACGAGTTTAAATTACATCAATAAAAATAACATATTCTTAAAAAAAAAAAAAAAAAAAACACGAAAACAACATCTATAAAAAATCAAAGTTTTTTTTTGGATAATTTACTCTTAAAAATAATTATTAAAATTTGACAGAATAATAATATATTAATTCTAATTTGATTCAACTCGGAAATGTTTATTTGCATTAAACTTATGATTAGATATTCGCAGCTGTTACAGGCAAATATGTATGCATTAACTTTCTATTGGTGTTAATTGAAATAATATTTATATGATAATAATATCGAAAATGGTTTTGGAAAAATCCTAACCTATATCCAAAAGGAATTACGTTCAACTTTGATTCATTAAGAAAAATAATTGCGTTGTGTAATGGTGACTATTTTTGTTTTTGTTGACGTCTAAAGCGAAAACCTGTGGATTGACCTAAGATCATTATTCTCCACATTACTGTAGAAAACAATTCATAAGAAGAAGAGAAACTAAGAGAAAATACACGAGAAATTCAATGATGACCATATAGCAGAAGTGCTATTGAAAACAAAATTCAATGGAGCGCAAAATTAACGATGATCGATAGGTACGTACGCACTGTAAATTTGTTCATCGCGCGGAAACAAGCATATCAGTCGAACATATCGTATCAACATTTAAATCAATATCGCATACAAGTTCTTTATAACAATTTTTTCTCCATTCCGAGCGGATTACGCCAAACTTTCTAGTTAAGTCTTAAATCTCGCAAATGGTTGTACAACATTCCTATGAATACCTGCTAGGTATTGTAGACAGTAGTATTCAAGCCACGCTCAATTGCAAAATTGATTTGGGGTCATTAAATGACAGTGTACACAACAAATTACAGCTTGCCTGGAAACGTTCAAGCAATCAATGATAGACGAACCGATGGACTCAAATAAGTTAAAAATCCGACGCAACAATGACAAGATAAAAACAAAATCATAGATTAAGTGCAAAATTGTATTAAAAATGATGTTCGCCAATATAAGGAGGATAACTTTCCTAAGGTATGAAATAAAAATTGAAGGATACACCGTTGAGAAAATTAAAAGTTCTAAGTGGACTTTGATCATATCAAATAAGCGGTGAAAAGTTCGTGGCGTTTTGATAAATAATTAGGAGTCGCGTCTATTCGGTCATACTGAAGCGTGTGCGAACTCTAATAAAGCGGGGATTATTCCAAAAGACAAAAACAAAATTTATTATGTTAAGAAAAATTGCTTTTTGGAAACAAGCCGAAAAGAAGTGAAAATTCTATACTATGCCGCTTCGTGATAACGCTTTACGAATATATGAAAAAATTCGTAGCGTTTACGGTGAAAACACTTCATTAATATCTCCTTCTGCTCTGAAAATTACGATAGTGAAGTTATATCACTTCGACCGCTCATTGATAAACTCGATAAAATTAAAAAAAAAAGATCGTAGAACTAAGCAGCAACTGAATAGTACCTTACAGAAGATCGATTTAGTGTACTTTCTCAATTAATAAGGAGCAATTTGATGCCATAAATTTCCTATTGCTGTGAGAATCACTTGATTCATTATCACAGAAAATCTACTGCGAGGGCAGAGTGGCCGAAACTTGTCGATCAAAATGGCACATATGGTCACATATAATATTTTTAAAGAACAAACGAATTTTGAATTTTGATGGAAATGTTTTTTTTTTTTTCAACCAATTGTATTTTCTAATGAAACTTTTCTTTAAAAACTCGCTGTCGAGGCCAAAAGAAACTCCTTCTCTTTATTTCACATTTTTATTTTAGAAGTTCGCCGCGATAGACTCATATTCTTGAAAGCAATGTGTTTAACCTATAATTTCGCGAAAATATGCAAATTGGCTGTAAAATATCTGAAAGTGTACTAAAAATTGCTTGATTTATTTATTTATATATATAATGAAACTAAAACTAACAAGTGCCAAATGAGGATATGAATAATCAAGATGCATCATGGCTTTCCCAATAAGCTAATTAAATTAGTAAGTAGTGAACATAACAATTTTAAATAAGAAATGCAATGAAAATAAATCGAGCAGTGAATTTTGTTTGTGTGCCGTGCGTTTATAGGTAAATTCTCTATTTTTTTTCATCACTATCGACTACCTGTCGAGCTTCTCATCTTGAGGCCACTGTTTATCTATAAATGAGCCTGACGAACGACGTCTGCGTTCAGTTGTAGCAGCCTTTATACGAATTTCTGGTAAAGGCTCTGATTTACGCCTGCATGTATGGGAAACATGAAAACATATATGGACACATAGGTAGGCGCGGTAGTATAAAAAATGTAAACATATGCAAAGTAAAATATAGCAGACATGCAAAGCAAACACTAAAATAGCAACTAATAACAAAAAAATTTGTAGGGTATAACAAATTATATCTTATAAAAACAAGAAGAGAAGAAAGAGTGGGGGAAAGTTGAAGTCGATTAAAAAATGTTATGTAACAGCATACATAAAATATACACAGCAGGCGTAAAAAATTAATACTGATCAGCTGCTTTATGAAGAATTGCTGAAAAATATTTTATTTAAGTTACTATTCATCAGTAGCTAGGCATTTCTATCATCTATCTAACCGTTCCTTCGAAATGTCGTAGGATATCGTGATAAGACTTGAAACCCTCGCCGGACAAATAGTCATCGAAGCAGTGCAAGTTCTGTCTGCTGAATATTGCGAGGGTTGTAACATATGTATGGCCGTGCTGCTAACGTTTCCTAAGGAACCTTTACGATATGGCTAAAACAACGCAATATCATCAAATTTGGTATATCGCGTTCGTTGTTCGGTTTAGTTTAATCAGCTATCGTTAGCAGCATTCCATAATCGTAATTTTTAGTTGTGTTTGATATTTTTTTCTGTGCAGAATTCTACTCGTACGAACATGTAAAGCCTAAAAGTAGTATCTCCCAATGGAAAAGTGGTACTTTGGACAATGCTTACAGACAAAAGTAACGGTAACAGTTGGGATTAACTTCTACACCTGATGCGCATATTTACGTTTATTTTGAAATGGTTGATGTTGCTAGCCTTTCATATAATAATTCAAAATATTTCCGTATATGTATCAGAAAGTAACCGATCATAAATAAAGATTTGCGTCTCTTGGCGCCCTTAAGTACACTAACGGTGATCTGTTAGATGGAAATATTTGTTTTCATTCATAACCGTGCGCGCGCGTATTTCTTTAACAAGCACAAAAAATCGCGGAAACCTGAGGCATTCAAAATAGACATTATCACATATCACGTGAAGTGATAAATATTTCCGCTTTCCCTTTACGGAAGCGCATGATATGGTTTCACTCCTTTAAGTTTAAAACTTTTTATGATATGCGCGTACTTGGAAAGTTTTCTCATGAAGTCGCTGTTTCATTTGAGTGCTGAGACTGATTCATCTCGCGTTTAGGTATAAGCTGTACATCCAGTGCAAATTCCTAATGAAGCGTTGCGCGGTGTATGAACAGATGAATTAAAACCTCGATGTGATCTATCGTGAGACGTTGGCCTTTCTAGGCAAGATGACGACACGAGCGGACATCCAGCATTGCTTGTGAAATCATAAAAATTCTCTGGCTAAATGTCTTACAGCGGAATATATCAAAAAAACTCATCAAAAAGGGGTCCCCAAAAATTCAATTTCACTGTTTCAAAATTTGCGTTCTCGTCTGAATTAACGAATATCTTCAAGCTTTCATATCTGACTTATGACGAATCCACAACGTCGAAAATACAGGTCAAGGACGTACAGTATTTTTTCAATAGATAATGCTTTTTAGTTCCACATAAAAGGTACGAACCGGTAACCGCAAAAATTTTTGCTACATTGAAAACTTATGACATGGAACGCCCAATCCATTATGAAACGTGGACATTGTTTTAATCTTACGAAAATTATATCGTAAGGGAGCCTGTTCCGGAAAATAAAAAATATTATGGTTTGTTTTAACAACTTATCGAATATTTGTGTAAATGTGAAAAAATTGGCTTCAAGGCACAAATGATCGTTCGTGTTTAATGTAGCCAGTTAAGACTCATCGTGATGATTGTTTTCCAGGGTAAGGATGCCCTCACCTGCCGATTTCATCAACTCTGTATACACTTGAATTATCAGAAGACGAAGAAGATTGGCTATTGTTATTTTGCACCTCCTCAAAAATCTTATCAGCTTCTGATTCAGAGGGATCAGCATAACACCGAACCTTTCAGTAACTTGCCTTTCCTTATCCATTTTGGGTATTTATGATTTGATTATAAAAAGTATTATGAAAAAGCACACGAAACAAAGGCGTAAATGAACTCGACATTTGGTTAATGAATTTAGACGCTATCTCTAGCAACGCTGCAACGAGCAGAATGTCTCTGTACAAATTAACTTGTAGTTGGCTTCCGCAAAGAGATATGTATAAGATAAACAAACAACGAGAAAATTCCTAATAGTTTTTTTAAGAATACAAATTCTATATGCTTTTAGGTAATCATTAGGTGCTGCAATTAGATTTTTAAGCAATGAATTAATTATATTAGCTTTTTACACCGGAATCGTCAAGAGCACCGTAGCTACGAGTGCGTTTTAAAGACTTTGCCAAGCAAATTTGATGCACAAGTTGATAACTGCGTGGGCAGGAATAAAATAATTCTGTTCTATGTATGTTTTGATATAAAAAAATGCACCATTCCATTGATTTTTTTGAATGTCATTTTGGTACGCTTGACTTCTGGCGGCAATTAACTGGAAACTCGTCATTCAAAACTTTAATTTTAGATCTGCCGTTGTCTTCTAAAGGATAAAAATTTCATAGACAACTAGTAAGCAGTATAATAAATCACTCCGTTCGATCCTTTATGTGTCTAAAGTCAGTTAAACATTATTTACTTCTTCCTTCTTTTCGTTGTACACCCATTTCGCTTGCACAAAAGCACAAGTAAGAAAAATCGTTATTTAGTTCAAATTTTTGCACATGCAGTTTGCAATAAGATCCGATTTCCGCTTTCATTGTTAAAATAAATCATACAAATTTAATGCATTCCTACGACATACTCATAGGCATAGGCGGGCAATGACCTAATCGATAACTACCTAAAATTCGTACGCAATCCGGCTCAAATATCTCATTTGCTTCTCTGAGAGAATAACGTTGGATCTACGCATAGCCTGCGATCGTTTCGAAACAGTTAATTTGTAAGGTTCGCGCTTATGTATGCTATATGACAGTCGACATAAACTCCCTCCTTGATTTCATTGCAACATTGCTTGACAGATATCGAAAGGAAGAGAAAACTTCCAACGTAGAAAAGCAAAATAACCTGAGTATTTTCTATTTTATTATTATTGTTATTGTTATTAACTTTTAGCCAGAGAAGTAAGTTCTAAGGCTAAAGTCTTAAAGCACTAGTATCTAATGCTGTCGGCTTTACGGAAAACTCTACCGGATTTCAGATTTGAACCTCCTACCATTGAGTTGTTAGTCAAGACCTACTTCCCTACTCTGCGACACACACGCGAAAATAAGCTGAATAAAAACACGCTTTCCTACTGTCTTCACAACATAACTAAAAAATCGAAAATGTTCACTAAAGGGAACTTAAAATATCGGCCAAAAGTTTGAAGCTTCTTTTAATGTACAACACTTCAACAATTTAATAAAAGAACGAGCGAAAATTCGATAACGGATATTTAACGGATGCGTAGATATAATACACCTTGTATGTAGTTTTCTTTCAATTGAAGAGCTCTTTAAAGCAAATTAAAATTTTAATCAATTAATTGTGATTAACGTAAAGTGGAACACAATTGAGCGAATTAACAGAAAGTTAAATCAAACTTATCAGTGCAACATAAAACACTTCTTATGTTTGGAATATTTAAAGAAACATGTTAACTGAAAGAAAATAATTAAATTTTAAAAATTGACGAAAATTATAATATACAAAGAACACAACAAAAAAAGCAAAAAAAAGAAGAATACAAGAAACAAAAAAAAAAAAACTTACCCTCTCGGAGGTTTTTGTGGCTGATCTCTACTTTCATCCTCTAAGCTTTTACCGCTATAGAAGAAAAATACATACGGAAATGCGTAAAATATTGAAAAGTTTTCGGTGACGCAATTGAATGAAGAATGATTTAGAAATTCAAGAAAGTAAATAATTAATAATTAAAAGTAGAAAATGCAAAAATCGTAAATAAATGCATAAATTATAAAAACAAATGTATTACCTAGCGACAACATCTTGCGATGATGGCATAGGAGTTTCTGAAAATGATGATGTTATTGGTTTTTGTGTGTCTAAGCTGGTTTCAGAAGCTGTCTCGGAGTCTAAGTCTGACGTAGTTTGCGTTAGTCGAGAAACGTATTTAGGTTCTTCTTCATCGATGAGTTCTTCTATATGTCGTTTATCTGTTTGTGTTTGCATTTGTTCTGTTCGTAGTGTTTGTGAAGATGCTTCCAAAGTTAATCGTGATCGTGACGATGATGTGTATGGTGATAGTGTCTGTTCACTGCTAGAAGCTATTGCAAGATTTCGTGCATACGCAGCACTTCCCCTCATTTTCTGTGAATCTTCACTGCTGTGATATGGTGATATTTAAAAAATAAAATAAAAATTATAAAAAAAGTACAAATAAAAATATAATTGCATACAAACAAACAATGATTTTGGTGAACATTGATGGCAGTGAAGTCAGTGACAAGATATATTACAGCCATTGTTGTTATTTTGAAGTGCGACAAAATTAACGATCAATAAAAACAGGCATTTTCAGGAAAGTTCCGAACACCATGTAAACAAAATCATAAAGAAAAAAAAGGGGAAATAAATTAAATGTGGCTTAAAAATTATGAATAATGAAGGGATGAGTATTAGCCTAACAGTTTGTATAGAGATGGGGATGTATAATTTATGTAGAAAAAAAATGTGAAGGCTTTTCCCGGCCCCCACATGCCATCTTGATTTAGTAGAATATTTATGTTTGTAGGCGTAAGACCGATTATAAAGTAACTTTGGAATCAATACCTTTCGGAAGCTCTTCGCAGCATTTCGATAAATTCGGCTGTTTGCTTATCATCAAAACGTCCTCTAAACACATAAAAATTTTTAGATTCCTAAAAAAAGGCAAAATATATAAACGAATTATGTAAGAATGACAAAACAATTTTTTAAAAACCTTTAGAGCTCTTTTCTCTTCGGTCAGTATTTTATTAACATAACGAAAATTGCGGGAAAATCGATTTAGTCGTATGGTCAACGCGGCAAAGTAGCCCCCAAATAAACGTATAACGGGGTTTGTTTTGAAAACTACAAGAAAATAATATTAGTATTCAATATTCAATAAACAAGAAATCTATAGATGAAAAAAGGCAATGACCATAATATAGAAATTAGCCATTTTCTTTGAAAGCGGTGTAAGTCTCCCGCCATGTGCTATATGAAGATATTTAGGGAGTTGCTTTTGAATAATATTTGACGAATATTAGTATACATAATGAGATCGATTTGGACTTACGACTGGCAAAGTAATTATATTTGTAAATGATGAAAATTTAAAAAAAGCTTATTCGAGAATCATTTATGGATAAAAAAAAATTCATAGCCGATTATTTTCATTGTTATCATTAACCAACTTTTTACCAAAAGTGAAATTGCAACACTTTCAAAGAAAACGGCTTCAATATACCAAACTTCTTTTTCTTTCTTTCCTATATCTCTGGTTTTGAGAATTTATTCGAAATTATTTTAAAGCTTATATTTGTTGCAAGCTCACAGACATTAATAATTCCTTTTGAGGGTGAGTATAATAAAACTATATTCTTGCTACTAAATGTTCTATATATCTTACTCGCATCCGAATCAGCACTACTAGCACTGGTCGCGTCTTCGTCTGGTTGTGTTGGGGACTTTTTGGACGCGGCTTTACTTGTGGAAGGACCAGCGCCATCAGTAGCCGTTGTGGGCGTGTGGTCCAATTCTTTGGATTTAGGTTTTTGGCTTTCCTTCAAGAAAAAAATTAAAAAAAGCATACACAAATAAATGGTAGCCGGAAATAAATAAAAAATGGACTTACATCATATAATGTTTTACGACGATTCATTTTTAAATCACTTTGCGTTATATTTTCGGTGTCGGTATCTGCTAAATCATGCGTGTCAGGTATCAAATCTAATTCGAATTTATCTTCAAGATCTTCAAACATATAATAGTCACCGGAACGCATAGCTAAATAATTTACATTAAAAAAGAAATAAATTTAAAAAAAAAAACGTTATTAAAGAAATTAGAAAATATAATTGCGTCCACTTATTATTAAGATGTGAATATTCTCTGTCAATTTTCAAATAAATCTACGAATTTGCTACAAGCAAAATTAGCACGAGCTTGTATTGGTCATTACTAATCAATATTCTTTCAACAGAATGTGAATTTCCTACGGAAACAGTTGGTTTTTTTGGAATCATCATAAGAATGCAAGCTCTGCTGAAACGCAGAACAAGTCACATATTTGAAACAAATGGTAATCTGGTAAACATAGTGCGGAGAGTGACACATTCCAGTTGAATGGTGTTAGCCTTTTCTAGCAATGTTTGTTATATTGTGATAAGACCAACGTAGTGAAAAATTCATCATGTCTTTTTGCATATTTCTTCCGTTTTCCGGTTCATTGCGTTATTTACGGTTGACAGGGCTCCTTATGAATCATCTGGTAGGGCCTGTACGTAATGCAGTATACCCAGTTCCCACCTCTGATTGTAACGCTATGGTTGTTCGGTTTAACTGTTGATATTAAGGATTTGTCTATTCTGCATCGTAATTATTTAGGTGCTTTACACCAGTCAACCTAGTTAGCTTATGTAGGTTTGCAAGTCTGAAAAAAACTCGCATCATTTTGCTATTTGTGGATATCACTTTAATCATATCTATGCTAGATAACTACGCATTGCATTATGCTCCCACCAAAAAGAGAAAGCGGAGCTCTCCTGAAAGACCGATACAGTCTTGGTTTCGATGAGGCGTTTGGAATTCTTATAATAAATCAATTTTAAATTGCCAATAACGCAAAACGACTTTTTGTACAAGTCTAGCAAAGAAAAAAAATGATGTCCGCGAATACTCTTAATTCAGCGCAGATTTCAGCACATTTGACACAAGAAAACTATGCTGTGCGAACACTCTTGCAGTTTCCAATTTATCCGCGTTCAGCGTTTGTTGATGCGATAAAATGCCATGTATATGGTATTCTTATGCTAACGCTAGATAGGTGTGCTTTTCATTTCTCGAAACTGTCGTCCAAATTGATCTACCTGGTAGCCTAGTCTCTATCCGGCTTAATTATTCCTTAAGTCTAAACGGCAAATTTTTGTGAAAAATTTAGAAACTTGGCACATGAATCGCTCACTAATAGTTCATTATTAAAGAGAAGACTTTCAGTTCAAGTGTTAACAGAAATGTCAAAATGTAACATGAACAACAGCAAAGGAAAATATGTTGGTCCTATGACAAAACCCTGTGTATACGCGAAGAAATATTCGATTAAGTATGTCATCTTTAGTTTAAAATCAACCGCAATATAAGCTTATCTGTCCATCCGCTGATCTGTTATGTCTGTACGAATTTTTCTATTTTTTTCCATTACTATGCGTTGCGTATTTGTATATATTATTTCTAATCAATAATTTGCGACGTAACATAAGAAATGGAATTACCTCTGGGATGCACTTTGACCTCTTTTACTTTAGGAGGTTTTTTATAAACTGGCATACCATGTTCTAAAAAAGAAAGAAAGAAATTAAGAATATTAAAAATGAATTGTGAATTGTGTGTGTGTGTGTGTGTGCGGTTATAAAAGATTTAAATCGTATTAAATTGAATAATTTCCTCTGTTTTGTTTTATGAAACGGACCAATTTTTAAAATCTTGTAAATTTAGATTTGTATAAAACAAGGCTTCTCTATTATATATCGGAACCAAACGAAAATGATCCAAAAATAATCTTTTTCATAGGTTGCGAATTCCATGAGCTGACGACATATACACTTTTTCGTGTGTGAGGCCATATGTTTGCATACCATGACAGAATAAGGTTTATGCCAGGTTTATGTATTTATTTATGTACTTAGTAAGTAAAAGACATAACTTACCGTCGTAGTATGTAGGCTTTTCTAAAGGTCTTAGGATTTTTTGATGCGATGCTCGGATTTTTTCCATTTTTCGTTTGATTTTTTGCAACACCAATTCCTCATTCTGTTGACGTCTCTCAATTTGTTTATGCCTCAGGCGCTCAATAATTTCAAAACCTCTGTACAAAATAATTTTTATTAGTGAGTTTTTGTTGTATATATTTCTCCCCATTTCTTTTTTTTACCTGGACGCCAGTATATTGTTAGCTCTGGTTTCGTTGATGATGTGACAGAAGTAATGTGAACGAAATATACGTAATTGGAAGATAAGAAAGGCGAAACATATTGCGTCCCAAACTAAAATCGGTTGATATGGTATAAACGGACATTCGTTTATACCATGCACAAAATCCTTCTCTGTTACCATCATATAATTATTGATTGCACAGTTAATACCAAATACGTGGACACACCAGCAGCAAACTTGAGTTATTTCATTTAAAAATAGACAACCGCCCATTTGCAAGGAAGTTTTTATCACAATATTCGCCACGTTATACGCGAGTAAATATCTCCACCGTCTTAGAATCTTGTTAATAGGTCGCAAATAGAAATCCGAACCCTCCCACAAAAATACACAAGCACCAATTATATAACCAATAGCAAAAAAATCAGCTATTTTTGTGCCAGCCAAGAAAACTGTTCCCAGCGTTATCCAAAAAAAACCGCAAAGTACAGTATATTTAACTACATCCAAATAATTGCGAATTTGCGATAGGAAATCATGTGTAGGATTATGAAAGTTCACTTTTCCCAAGTTTTGTATATCCTTAACTACAGATTTATTACTGCCGCCTTGATTATTTGGTTGTCTTTCCAATTTATATACATGCGACTGCCGACTCACCATCATCAACAATATGTACTCCATCATCAATTTATCAGAATGATCGTGGTGTAAAAAGCCCGGCAACATAGTCCACTTTTGCAAAGAACCAGAATATGCCAATTCTGTCCACGGATACTCTGTCGTCAATTATAAGGAGAAAATATTTGTACACTAGTTTTGTTTTATATTTACGGGATTAAACATTTACCTAAGCATAAAGAAGGTGGTAAACCCAATGTCACTAAATATTGCACCAGCAAGGAAACGAAAATAAAAATTTCAAAAACGCGCCACAAACGTGAACACTTGCTGCGTCCTATCAATAAAAGCACAAGCAGCCATGTGCAATAAATCATAGCAATTATATCACGTCGAAAAGTCATTAAAGCTACCAAAGCAATTAAACACATCTCAAAGCCAAATTTGTAGTAACCATAGTTGACTAAATATTTCAGCATGCCTGGCAAATTGACCTCGGCATCTTCTCGTTTTATACCTTCGAATACAAATTTAGGTGGAGGCTGCTTTTCTAAGCCTTTCAAACGACGTGCTTGATACTGTCTTATTGATATAATAGATTGTATGGTGGCAACGATCATATAAATAATATATTTCCTTATTATACTAACTAAACCTTGATCTTCAGTTTGCTTTTTCAAACCAAACCATGCCGCAGAATTATACGTCTCCGTATCATTAGGCTATAGAGGATCGAATTTTAAAATAATTTCATAACATTACTTATTTCATTTGTTTTAGCACTTACACAGCTGACATTATATATATTTTCATCTATAACATTTACTTGATAGACCATTTTCGATAAAACAATAATAGCAACCACTAACGATACTAAACGGCTCAAATATATTTTCACTTTTGTACGCAAAACGCTTCCCTGTAGACATAACATTACGAATGGCAAATGTAAAATCGTTTGCTAAATTCGTACAGAGAAAAAATTGAAATTATTATTATTTTAAGGAATTGTCTAAGCGTATAGGCGGCATCAGCCCATACCAACCTCAGAAACGGCACAAAAGAATGCTGATCCGTAGACGACTTTAATCCAATGCAATTCCAAGATACGCCAAGATATGTCCTTTAAATTCTTGTAAAAAATCCATAATTTATAAAGAACTCGTTTAAGGAATGTACGTATCAAAGATGGCCGTATTGGGCTTTTAGAGCGGCGCCGTCTTTCCGGCTTCTCTATCTTCGCTGGTACGGTCATCGAAATCACCAAACGCCGGTGGAAATAATGCACCTGTATAACTGTCAATATGACAATGCAGGTAGGTGCTAATAAATGCAGAAACAAATCTTTAGTTTTATAAATTTCCAAGCCAATTGGACCTTGCCTATTTGAAAATCAAAATTAAAATTATTTCACAAAAATATATTCAAGAAAAATATCACATCACCCTCTCTGTCTCTCGCCCTCTTTATACTTACATTGTTTTCGTTAATTGAAAATAATCCTCCCAATATTGATCGAACTTATCGAACTGATATGTATAGATTAATATCAGTATGAACATGGCATAGAAAATTAGGAATAACCAGAAACCATACATTATACGTAGCCATGCCGTAGGAGATGTTTGGAATACAAGCAAAAAAAATAGAAACATAGCCATGTAGCATATACGAAACCCCGTCATATGTCGTCCGGTTATGGCGCACATGAAGATAGCAAATAGTAAGACCCAAATCCATAAGCGTACAAATAAGTTTTTTATCATTTCACCGATTCTCTTCATAATATTTGTGGATTTCGTTCGCTGCATTTCGGTGGAGTCTCCTATAGGTGAAAATATATCACCTAAAGTGTTTTCACGAGTTGTTTCGCTTTTCTCTTTAAAGAACTGCCTTAGCGTTATCCAAAACATGAGTAGAAAACATGTTTTAACTAATAAAGCCGAATAGGGTGGCGTATCGTAATTTTGAGGGCGTTGCAAACCAATTTGTTCTAAATTAATGCCGCCCGACTAAAAAGTTGTGCAACAATGTACTAACAGATGTTTTTGAAATATTTAGCTAAATAAGGTACTCACGGTCAATCTGGACGGTAATTCATCATCAGTCAAATTCATGCTGTAAATGTACTGCAATAATAATAACAGTTCGGCGTACATTACTATAAAAGGACTAGATCGCAACATCGCCATACGTTGATTGGGTATCATCCATAGAACATTGGCCCATAGCAATAAAGCAAATGTTAACCAGCTATGATAGATTATGGACCATGCCTTTTATTTAAATTAATTGAAGAAAAACGAGAGAGATTATTAAATATTGTTAAGTTCGTCTTTCCTACAATTTACCATCATCATAACGTTGGTGAATATAAAACTATTACGATATATAAAACTCGCAACGCTAGTTATAGTGTATATGATTTGCTCCCCAATATCAACTCTTGTCGGCAATCTGTCGGATTGCCTTAGAAACTCATACGTGCTTTTCCTTAATTCAGCACTTGACGAACGGTCAATTTCAGGCGTTCGGTTATGATTTGGTGGCTTCGTATGCATAAGCTATACAAAATTGCAAGTTTGTAAAAAAATATATTAAAAAAATTTTTCGTAAATAAGTTAAACGAACAAAAAAGCCATTAACCAAAAATAAAACCTAAATTAAATATGAAAAAAACTGAACTGAAATTTATTAAAAATTTGAATGTGTTTTTACTTTCATAAGATAAAAATTGTTTTTATGTTTGAGAAGGTATATATATATATATATATATATGTATATTAGCATGTTTCTAATTAATCTCTACCTAAAAATGATTATTAACATCAGTAAAATAATTGGAATGTTTTTATAAGACGGCGTACGATATGCCTAGTGGCGTATGTACGTTTTTGGGGATTTTTTTTAATGCTTCATCTGTAACAACGCTACCACTGACGCAAACCAAATTATAAAATAATAAGCATATTGGTGTTAATATTGAATCTATATGAAATTTTCGAGCAGTAGATGCGAGTTTTGTAAAACGACTTTCTTTCTTTGCTGATATGAAGTAGATCAGAAACCTTAAAAATATTTCTATGAAAGGAGATCCTTAACCAACCTAATTAATCACTATCTAAAAAGACGAGAAAAAAATTTACAATTGCCTTACGTTGAACCTTAGAAACTTGTCGTCTGGACTTGTCTATTAGTTGCTTTCAGATTACGTTTTCACCATTTTAAAGTCGCTTGTAGTTTGCAACTTGAACGATTTTAAACAATCTTCGTAAAGTTTGTTTGGGAGGTGTCAGGTTAAGATATGCCTTAAGTTGCGAGTCATAGTCTTTTTGGTTGATCGCAGGCTTGGTAGGAAGGAAATCTAGCAAATTTTCAAACATAATTTATAACTTTGTACCTTAAACGCTGAAATCTTAAGCGCTTCAATGGGCATTGGCAATGGACCAAACAACAATTCACAATCTGCATATTTCCAAATGTGACAAAACTCTGGATGTATTTCTTTTGCGGATAAAATCAAGTCTTCCTAAACAAATTCCAATCGATTCGAAACGAGGCTTACTAAAAACGAAATTCGGTAATGGGTTTTCTCTCCCTCTCTCTCTCTCTTTCTTCCTCTTCATGAAAAGCCTTATATGCGCTTTATGGATAAAGTCGATGTAAAATCGGTATATCATTAAATGAGCGATAAGGTGTTGAGCTTTTATGGAATGAATTTAAATATGATTGAAAAGCACCATTTTGAAAGTATGATAATATTAGTTTATGGCCAAGAGATTTTTTTCTAATTTTTTACATTTGCGATAATATCTGTTGCAGCAATCGTGATTATGATTATGGATCACTGCACTAACTTATGGTGATGAGAAAAGAGAAAAATAACTACACCCACAACGACGTACACACAAAATTATGTTAATTAAAGAAGTTGTGATGATGAAGATAAATGCTATAATGAAAATGATGTATTTTAAAATACTCTACGACTATAGTTAGTATGTAATAGACGCACACATATAACGATAGAAACAAGGGGAGAGAAGATTATTACGTACAGGTGTCGTTTCAGTCGGTTCGGTTTTTTTAATTTGATGTTCACGTCGTAAGGACACCTATAAGAATCCAAATAGATGCACAGATTTGTTTATTTAATAGAGAGAACAGAAATTATAAAATAAAACATTCAATAAAATAATGCCGAATTGAAGGGAGGAGAGAAATCACCTAGAACCTATTTTGTCTTTACATACATATAGATTCGAAACATTATAGAATACTTATTTGACGGAAATTGTAAAGACATTGCAGACATTTTATGCATTTAAGATGAACGTTTAGCGAAGAAACTTTTAACTTTTCGTGAGTGCCATTTAGTTTATGGCATCAATAATAAAATAATATTCTCTAGTGGTAGGTCTTTTGCCATAATATATATTTCATATTTTTCAAAGTTTTTTTGAAACGAGATCGCATTCCCGTCAGTAAGAGAGGGTAACGAGGTCTTTTAAAAAGGGGTGCGGCGTCTTTGCTTTTTCAAAAAATAATTATTTTACTTAAATTGTTTTATTTATACACCTCGACAAAAGTAAAAACATGTAAAATGGTTTTTCAGTACAGAGTCTTTCAGTCTTTCGTCAATCAATTCGAGAAAATTACCCATAATTTCGTCCTCGAAATGTGCGGCTTTATCCCCTAAACGAGTACTAAAACTTTTGACAACTTGCTTCCTTCGTTCGTATACAATACCAAGTACTTTTTTAATCGAATTTATGCTATGGTTTTTATATCAACGTACAAGATGTTTAATTGTAAAATATTTCGCAAAATTAAGGAAACCTGATGACCGCAATTGAGCAACAAAAAAAAAAAAAATTCCTCAAAAAAAATGTGAAAAAAAAAAATTAAAAAATACCATTGATTTCCAATTTAAAGTATTATGTAATTATATATTTTGGACATATTTGAGCAAACAAAGGGCATAATATTGCTTTAAAAAAATATATATTTCAGTTTAAAAAAATCAGTAAATTTTAGAGCAATCTTACATTTAAGCATTGTGTTTTACTCCAATTACTATCCTTTTTACTACCACCTGTTGTTCGTGTTATTAGTGATATTTGACGTTGTATTTTGTTGGTGTTATTGCTGTCGATTTCCTGACTAAACGCGGTGGTCGGTTTTGGAACAATCTTTATTTCAAGATTGTTTCATTAGTACGCAAATAGAAGTAAGAGTTCGTGTGAAATGTTCAAATATTGTGTTATTCATAAAAATGTTAGAGAATCAAAATAATTAAGAGAAGAAAATTTTTATCACAGGAAAAACGACAAAAATTTAAATGAATATTATCTTTTGTTATTAGTTAATTATTTAGTTGTCTAAGATAAATGTTTTTATATATAATTTGTTAATGCTTACCCTCCGTACGGCGAGATTTTTGCTAGTTAATGCTAAAACATGATAGGCTATGAATAACATAATAGGATTCAAGAAAGAATCACCGCCAAATTTAGTTTCAATTGTAATAATTCGTATGTCTCCATCGCAGCTGGAATTTAATAACGGCTCCAACCCGATTAAGCTATAAAAAAGCAAAGGAAATAACGAAAAATTCAGCTTTTCATATAAATAAAATTTTAGCAATTTTCCCACCGTGCCACTAAAGAATCTTCAGGCAATTCCGTTTGCAGGAAAGGTGTTTGATAAAGGACTATGCACAGAGCATGCACAATTATAATCAATAATACTAGCCGTAAAAATCTTGCAAAATGACTATGAAGAAACAAATTCTTTTTAGTCTTTGTAAAAATTCTTAATGAAAAAAGGCTTACACTCGTAGAGATCTGTATGTTGATATATACGTGCCGGAACATAAGAAAACTAGAAAATAAATACCACCCGGCACTGAAGGGCGTAAAATGCTGGTACAAAGTAATAGCATCATACAAAATATTGGAGCTGTAAAAAAAGAGTCATACATAAGTAGTGTGAAAATTGTTTTATACATAAGCAGTCACTTTTTTATTATTTAGTTTCCTCTAAAATGTTATTACACTATTACTTTTTTCTAAAATAATTTATTACAACATATGCAACCATCGTAATGGACAGAGAAGCAAATAATCGCGTTTTACCAAATAACCGTTACATTAGGCACGTAACTCTCTCACTCTGCTACTTTCCAGACAACGCAATTACGTTCTCCCTTATCTCTTGATCACAATTGCTTACAAATTTTCGTGGTATTAAAGTCTCGTCTATTCCTACGTAGTACTGAGACACTTGACCTCAAGATCATATAAATAACAAAGCACTTTAGACTCAATATTTTGTTCTGTTTGCTGGCAATTTACTTTAAAAAGAAGGCGTGTTCCTTGTAATGAATGCCGCATATTTACAACTTTTCGTTAAATGTGGACTTTTCTCTGAGATAACCATTTTGATGATGTAATCGATACATGTAATCGCTTATACAAATTTTTCCCATACATACAGAAGGATTTTTCGCGGCAGTAAATATCCCTTCAAGCGACGCAATTCTTGCACAGGTTATGCTCAACGGAAACATCCAATTTGTTGAGTTGTCGAGGTAAGATGAAATGTAAATTCTTCGGACCGACACCTATTCGATGAGCGCTACAATAAAGCATACTACTCTAGAATGAAACAAAATTCTCGGTATATTAGAATAAATGTTACGGCGCAGCTACGTAAAAAGTAAGTGAATATGTCACTTGCATTTAATTATCTTCATAATTATACAGTCTGAGGTGAATTGCTTTAGTCTCTTCCTATGTTGTCTGTCTATTGTTTAATCCATCTCATTTTTGCTTACAAAGCAATATAAGCCTATCCAGAAACGACTTTTGTTTTTCTTCCGTAAGGCCAGCTCTTTGTCTTTCTTCTGTTCGATTTTCATTTTGTCCTCTAGTTGCAGTACGCGTTGTTGGTGTTGGCGTTCTTGAAGGCCTGGCGAATCCCTGCTCATCTTCCATGTCACTAGCGATAACAGGAATTTCCCCGCTTTCAATTAATAACGGTTGTTGAACACGTGTGTTTGATCTAACCGCCAAAAATGTACCCAAAGCAACCGGTACCATGAGTATCTCTGGCAACAGCCAATGTAGTATGCGCCACCAACTGAGACACAAATAAAAGCAAATAAATATTTGTTTATGCGTACAATTTAATAGTTTGTGTTCTTACCTTAATTCACTATCAAACCTTATAAAGCCCAAATGTCTTAATAAATATTCTGTAGGAGCACAGGTACCGCTTGGGCCAAAATCTAATAAAAAGGCGGTCGTTTGCAATATTATGTGACACAGCATCAATAGTACACTTATTGTTAAGTGTATAATTGTAAAAGCAAGAAGAGAGCCTTTAAAATTTCCAGGTCTCGCCAGAGGCACAAAAGGCGACAGGAAGAACAGGAACATATATACAAATGATATACCGACCGGCCGCATTAAAGCCGCTGTAATTAATAAATTAGAACAAGTATTACAGAAGGACACATTTTTGATGAATAATAATAACATACCTACTGTGAGCACAAACGGTACTACAAAACGTTGTAAAATAAGACAACTGGCGCTATATGGCATTTTTGTGTTTATCTTAAATTAACTGGAAGAGTTTAGAAGTCGTTGTAATTGTATAATTAATAAAATTTTGTGTTAGTTCAGTTTTTTATATTATTTCAATAGTTGTAGGTGTAGTGCGTTCGTATTAAACTGCCACGAGTTTCCGGGCGACGCTTATCAGTCATAAAATTTTCCGGCAAGACGCTGAAAATAAAGAAGAACACGTATAATAAGGTCAGTTTAGCACATTTAACGTAAACAAGTAAGAAAGTTATATTCGGCGCGGCCAAATCTCGCATAACCACCACTATGTTGTTCGCATTCTACTCTTAAAGTTCTTTTATTTGATATTATCTGTATTTATTTGATGTTATCCACTACATCTTTTTAGAATTAATCCATTTTTAGGCAGATAATATATCTTCATTTAAGGAGTGTACAACATGTGAAACAACAAGTTTAAAAAAACAGAATTTAATCACGTGTAACTTTGTGTGGGCATTGCTGACATTTTTCATTTTTACACGTAAAGCGTGGAGTGGCTTCGTGAAGCAAATGTCGAAAATTTCAGAATAACAAAAAAGTGAGTTGCGTTCAGCTTACGTTCCATTCCGCGCTTCTGCTTTGACCTATTTTCCCCAATTTCAAGAGCAACCTGCGTGCAGAAACTTCCAATGTTCCTACCGAATTTGAAGTCGATATCCTCATTTTTGTGACCAGGAGAGTGCCAAGAACACACACTACGCAGACATACGGGCGGACGGACTTGGCTAAATGAACTCAGGATTTCACGCTGATCAACAATATATATACTACTTTGGAACTTCCTTCAGGGTGTTACATATATTTTGGGAAAAAACAAAATCCCCCATGCAGTGGTGCGTATAATAAAAAATAGAAAAGAGAAAAATCTTACACTTTTCTTATAATAATTAATTGAAAAGTTCACACAATAACGAAAACTTCTTCAATATAATCTCTCTTAAGTTGTAATCAGAAAATTTTGTAGAGATTTATAGGTAGATAAAAAGAAGCGAGATCAGCAATTTCCAAGGTCTTTCAAGCTGAAAACTGTTCTTTTCTGAAAACAAATGATCAATAAAATGCTGCTTGTATATCACAAATATTTATCGTTTAATTTTTAATACCCTACAGTATCAAAGTACTATTGACAGGCTCAGTTTAACTAGCGTTTTCTCTAAATATATCGGCTCGACATATTACTCATTACAGAGAAGTCAATTTTGAAATGTAAAGGATTATGTACTTCTTTTGTATTTATATTGATATCACTTTGCTAACACATATACGGACAAAAAGAGGCGTGATTATTTTAAAAATGATTTCACATGATTATACCCTACACTGTTAGTTAGTAGTGTGTTAGGAAAAGTAATACTTGCAAGGGCTTGTCTATCGCTTTTTGCTAGCATGCTTGACACAATAGAAAGCTAAAACTTCGCACATATATTATTAAGAATCTTATAGATTTCCCCTAAAGGCCATATCTTAAGCAATAAAGCTATATGATCTACAAGGTTAGCCGTCGAAGTTTGTCGCGCAAAACCTAATTAAGAAATTTCGCATATTTCGGATTCATCATGTGGAACTTTATTAAATTAAATTTAAAACAGGTTCTGTTGTTTAATTCTAATGGGACTTTGATTATTGACATTTGATGGTGAACTTAAATTTTTTGATTTTTTTCATATTGCCTTTCCAAAAAATATATATAGCCGCTGTGTAATATTTTATGTTTATGTAAACAATAACAGTTTAAGTATTTCCATGGTTCTCATAAGCGACCGAGCGTCATTCCGTGGCAAAATTCGCTACAAAAATCTGTCCTACGATTACGATTAAAAAATAATTACGAAACAAAGTGTTCCATTTTCTTTTTTCTTCTAATTTTCTCTTTGGTTTTAATAATATATGAACATTGTCAATTGTTCCGATTAAAATTATCTTCGCGTTTCTACAAAATCTTTATGAAACTCTTCATATTAAACAAACGAAACCTTTTAATGGGAGAACTCGTTTAGTGACACGTTTTAATATAAAACTACGTTAAACAATCTGTCCTTAATTCAAGTCCCGCATAGATCATTTTTTACTATTACAAACAAAAAAAAGAACAAAGTTTGGATTACCTTTAAACACAGTTTGTCACATCAATGTTATTATTAATTACATTGTTATCACTTAGTATTAAAATATCCAAAAAAATCGTTAAAGTTTCCTCTTTTCATTTCTTGTCTTTCGTGCTTAAACGTGTTTATCCTCATATAAGATCTACAATTCTTACCTTTAAGTAGATATAATCGTGGGTGTTCCTGGCAAGATTAGCTTAGTCTCTCCGCAAAGTACGTTTTAAAATTCAAAATTATAAATTTTTGTTCCAAACGCACGTTCTTAATTATAAGAGATTATGGTTACGTAGCTAGCTACACACAAAAGGCAAAACATATTACTTTCATGCTCAAACAATTAGTCTATTCACATATCAAGTGAAAATATTTTCACTTAATTTGATGCAGGTAGCGCATGATAAATCAGCCTCCTCGGTGCGATGAGTCTTCATAACCAATTTATGGAAATAAACATTTACACAGTTATAATTGCACTTAAGTGATTACTTTTTTATATGACTGAATGAAAGAGAAGAAACAAAAATCATGTGGATAGTCATTATCGTTAAAAGGACGACACTTTCATTCAAACACCTTACAGTAAATTTGGGGTACACAGTATCGAAGCTAGATAAATGAGAAACGGGATCATTTCCTTATATGAATATAGACCTAAGATCAGGATATATATTAATAACTGGCTGATAACTGATCATTCTTATAATATATTTGAAAGACTAACGTTCATTAACTTTTTTACACCACAGGAAAAATGTCAAAAAAAGAAGTAATTTTTTTTTTATTCCGTAGTATTGGATCAAAAATGTATATATCAAGCTTACAGTTTTTGAGAATTTCTACAAACGCAAAAATGAGAGGAAAGTTGTAAACGACCACATCGAATTGTGGCGCCATCATAATAACGCTTTAGCTGAATGCATGCATTTGTATACTTCTTCAAACAAAAAAGAAAATTATGTCATTTCGCTTCTACAAAATTCTTCTTATTATATTCACTACAAGCGCTATAATCTGTCTTAAATTTTCAGTGCATTTGCTACGCCTATAAGTAAACACAAAATATCCATAAAGTAGATATAGTCTAGAAAAGTTTGAATTATGGTTTCGCTCATCTGTCTACCCTCCAAAACAAACTTGATCCAAATATTCCGATGGAAATATGAATATTTGAGCTCTATCCCTGGAAGCCTGCCATAATCTTTCCTATTTGTTCTTACGTGTATATGTTTCTGCTGCAGCAGATAGAGCGCATCGGAGTGTACACAATGCTTAAGAAAACATTAAAAAATTATATGTTACAAGTGGAACAATCAATTTGACATAAACTTCCCACAGACTCTAAGCATTGAATATATTTTTGAATTAAGCAACTCTTGCATTTGGCAGTTGCTTTGCGCCATTCCGCCGGTAACCTTTTTAATACGACAATTACAGTCTTAGGGTTCAAATTAAATTCCTAAACCTGAACCTCATCTCTTCACGGATTCTTTTGAAAATCTAGCCCATAAAACGCAAGACCAAACCTGAATAATAAATATCTTCCATGGTGGGTTAGTTACTATGCGAGTTTTTCAACTAAGTTGCTTTCTAATAATAAGTCTCCCTCATCGGCCATAGGAATATCCACTCCTAATAACTTATCCCAAAAGCAGACCACAAATTGCTCGGAAAATTGTCAAATTTCTGAAAAGCGTTTTCGATAAATTCGATTGATTGATAACTCCCTTCAGATATTTTTTATTCTATATACTTTTAATATGGTATCGTTAAATTTTTAAGCGTGTACCAAGTGATAGGCAAAAAACCGTCTGGAACAAGTTGAGAGTTCGAAAGTAATTGAAATCAATCTCGCGCAATAATTTCGGAAAAAGGAAACGAAAAAAACATTGTTCTTATTAACGTACCTCAGCCATCTTCTACTCTGTAGTGTACCTATTCGTTTATGGGATGCGTGTGGCTCTACATGCGGCGTCGTAAAAAGAAACAGTAAAAGGTAGGTCTCAGAAAGTTCGCTTTGAACCTAATAGAAATATTTCTGATGTGCTATGGCACTTGTAGCGTTTGCGTTTGCATTACTCTCTTAGTGTAGGCAGCTACTGGCGTTCATTGCAGTTATTAAAGTCAAAATGTAACTGTGGTATAGTCGATGCACGAAGTCTTCTCACTAGAAAAAAATTATTTTACAGTTTAAAGAAAAGGTTAAATCAATATATTTCAATTTAAGTAGATTTAAGAAAGCAAGACCCATCGATTTATTGAAATAAATTATTTGCACTTAATTGTAAAGGTACTTAAAAGATTGTTTAAATCATTTTCCAACAGTAAAAGGGCGACGCGTCAGCTTTCGCAACAAGAACACTTTTACAGCTCTTCCAGGGCGATATTCGTACAATTCGTAACTTAAGGAATGACGCATTTTGAAATATTATTCAATGGCTACTGAAGGTTGTAGGAGTTTTTCCAAAAATATTAATTTTAAAAAAATATGGATCGATTGCAACAAAGTTCGGAAAAACGAGTGAAAAATCTGCTCTAAAATCAGTTAAGAGAAACTAATCGAAAAGCCCAGTGTTCACTAGAGAACATTACAAAGCCATGGTTGCATTATGAAGTTAAATAGAGGATGAGAGAAGATTACAAGCGCTCGAAATGGGAATGGGAAATAGAGGAAAATTTCGAGAAAAAGTGTATTAAATGGTATTGGTATTCAGTAGCGAGAAATCGCTTGAAAAATGCACTTTGCAGTTTATTCTTTTTCGTTTCCCTTCTCTACCAGTTTCATTGCTTTGTTGAATAAATATGTAACGTGCATTTTAAGTGACGTTTTTTCTTCTTATTATTTCTACGTATTTAGCTTTGCAAGAGACAGAAGCAATCAGAATAGGAAATTACATCGTATGAAGATATGCGAATTCGTTTCTTGTTTTCAAAGTCAAGTGATCTTCCTAAGAGTAAAACAGTATTTTTTTTAAATATGGTAACGATATTTTTTGATTACACTTTTCTTGCCTTTTGTGGGGGATTACGCTTATCTCTGACTATAGCTGGCATATT